GTAGAAAGGCCGTGCCCCGTCCGCCTTTCTAAAGAGAGATACCAAAAATTGTCGGCGTTGTGTTGATTATTCTTCTTCTTTCATCATTCTTTTGGACGGGGGTAAGGCCAAATTTTTATCGCTTCTTGCGAGGGTTATTGGACCAGCTAATGAGATGATGACGGGTCACCGCGTATGGCTCTGCGAATCCGACGCGACTTGTTCACACTGCGTCTCTCTCTCTCTCCCTCTTTGTCTCTCTCTCTCTTTCTCTCTCTCTCCCTCTCTCTCTCTCTCTCTCTCTCTGTTTCTCTCTCTCTCTCCCTCACCCTCTCTCTCTCTGCCTCTCTCTCTCTCTCTCTCTCCCTCTCTAACTCCCTCTCCCTCTCTCTCTCCCTCTCTAACTCCCTCTCTCTCTCCCTCTCTAACTCCCTCTCCCTCTCTCTCTCCCTCTCTCTCTCTCTCCCTCTCTCTCTCTCTCCCACCCCGCCGCCTTTCCACACGTCGGCACGCTGCTGTATCCACTCCGTGACTGCTCGCCGATTCCGCTTCGGTTTCACCTCCTCCCCCTCTCCCCCCCTCCCCCCGCGAGATTATGATGGGGACGGGGACCAGTTTTCACAGTCCCAAACAATTTCTCCAGATTGCTCCAGAGCGCTGTGTGCTCTGGGGGCCGCGCTTGCAGGCGGGCGGGCCGTGCGGGGGAGGGGGGGGGGGCCTCGATCGAGTCGTATGCAGAGACACCAGCCATAAAGCGCTGCGGGGCTGCGGGGGCCTCCACTGTTCGGCTCCTCGAGGGGCATCGCGTGGATGGCCCCCCTGGGACGCGCACGGACGGGCCCACGCGACGGGTCGGCCGGCCCACGCCCCGGACACTTTTCTCCTGCAGACTGATTCCGAGAGTCGTTTTCGTCGCTGCGTCGCTCTCGCACCTACACGGGACGCCCCGTGAGTGCAAGAGAGACACTCAGCCCGCGGGGCCGGGGGGGAGGGAGGGGAGGGGCGGAGGGGAGGGGCCGGAGGGGAGGGGCCGGAGGGGAGGGGCCGGAGGGGAGGGGCCGGAGGGGAGGGGCCGGACAGTACACGCCCTAACTATGGCGCTGGCCGGGGCCGAGGCGACTTATTTTGATGGAGAAAAATGGCTGGAAATGAGAAAGTGGTCCGCTTCGCCGCTTCGCCGCTTCGGCCGGAGTGGGCCACGTGGGGCCCCAGGGGCGCGACCAGAAGAGTTTGAAAAAGAGGAGGGGGGTCCTTGGTCCGAGGCGTGGACCATTTCGTGGAAGCGGCCGGTGCGATGGAGGTAACGAACGGACACGGGCAGGTCTAGACGACAGTCCACCCTGCCGAGCATGCAAAGTGCAAAAGGGCGTGACGACCTGCCGGAACTTGGACATCGACGTGGCACAGTGGGCCAGAAGACCGGTGGAGGCGGCCGAAACTCCAGGCGCGTTTTGAGCTCCAGAGTCGCTCGAACCGAACCTGTGACCCCACCAATGGATTCCTCGTTCGGAGAGCAATCCATTGGTGGGGTCACACGTTCGAGTCCCATTTAGCGACTCTGGAGTTCAAAACGCGGCTGGAGTTTCGGCCGCCTCCACCGTTCTTCTGGCCCACTGTGCGTGGACGTGTGGCGGCCGCTCCCGCCTTCCGCCCGATAGAGAACCGACAGACCGCAGCAGACTGATCCCGAAAGCCGTTTTCGTCGCTCGGTCTCCCTCGCACCTGCAGGGGACGCCTCGTGAGTGCGAGACGGACCGAGCGACGAAAGCGACTCTCGGAATCAGTCTGCTGTAGCGGGTTAGCTGACCGGGCAACTGGCTCGCCGCCTGCGAGGCGGGCACGCCGCCGGCTGCGCTGTGCGCCGGGCTGCCTACCCCGCCGTCCGCAGGGGCCCGGCCGGTGTCGAGGGCCGCGCTGCGCCGCACAGTGGGCCAGAAGACCAGTGGAGGCGGCCAAAACTCTAGACGCGTTTTGAGCTGCAGAGTCGCTAAACAGGACTCGAACCGAACGTGTGACCCCACCAATGGATTCCTCGTTCGGAGAGCAGTCCATTGGTGGGGTCACACGTTCGGTTCGAGTCCCATTTAGCGACTCTGGAGCTCAAAACGCGTCTAGAGTTTTAGCCGCCTGCACCGGCTTCTGGCCTACTGTGCGCTGCGGCGCTGCGGGGCGGAGTGGAGCAGGGCGTGCTGCTTGTTGTGCGCGAAGCGACGCACAGCGACGCACAGCGACGCACAGCGTGTTCATTGTCTGGTGCAGGCCGCCCTGCAGGGCTTGCCGGGCCGGGCCGCGCGGCGCTGGGCTCGCTGTCACGCGGGGAGACAAGTGTCACTCAGGCCTCGGCGCAGACACCCCGGCCCGGCCCGGTCCGCCCCGCCCCGCCCCGCCGCCCGGCCTGACGGCGGCACTGTGTGGATCGCACAATAGCCGGATTCGCAGTGTGGGACCGCCCCCGCCCCCGCCGGCCGTGTACATCCCCCAAGGCTCCGAGCCTGCAGACTGATTCCGAGAGTCGTTTTCGTCGCTCTGTCTCTCTGGGACACGGGGGGCGTGCCGCGTAGGTGCGAGAGAGACGCAGCGACGAAAACGACTCTCGGAATCAGTCTGCTGCTCCCCGCGCTGCCCCGCGTGTTGGCAACGCAACGCAACGCAACACAGGGCGACGCACCCCTCTGATACCAGGCACTGCTCCACCGCCGCCTTGCCGCCTTCGTCTGCAAAATAATTTGGATTTGTGGAACGCGCGCGCTCGTGAGGAGCGGGGGCGCGGCGGGGCGCGGCGGGGAACGAGAATTGAATTTTCGATATCACGTTCGGGCAATCTGTCTGGATGGGAATCTACCGCCGGTCCCCCTCCCCCGCCCGCTCCTTCCGCCCCGGACATAAAGCTGAGGGAGAGCACGGAAAACAAGTGGTGTGAACACATAAAGGAGGGGGAGGACCGCCGGGACCGCCGGGGCCCAGGACCGCGAGGGCGACGAGCCAGGTCGTCATTCCGGGGGTTGGCGATCCCCTCCGCCCTCAACAAGTGCGAGGAAGAGAAATAGAGGGAGAAAGCAGTTGGCGCGGACGGCCTCGGGCTCTCTCTCATACTCTCTCTCTCTCTCTCTCTCTCTCTCTCTCTCTCTCGCTCTCTCCCTCTCTCTCTCTCTCTCCCTCTCTCTCTCCCTCTCCCTCTCCCTCTCCCTCTCCCTCTCTCTCCCTCTCTTTCTCGCGCGCACACGAGTTTATGCTGGCCACCATTCCCTCAGGGCGGGTCTGTTGTTTTGTTGTTTTCGATGACGTTTCCTTCAGGCTGCGCAAAAGGCATGGGTACCTCGCCATCTCATCATCTTTTTTCTTCACTTTTCGTTTTATTTTTAAAAAGAAACTTCTCAAATAATAATTAGGAGAGTTGAACCCTCACTCTAAGGGCGCTTGACGACTTTTTTTCTAAATGTTTCAGTAGTTACTACCCAAGAAATTTATGGATATGGAAACTTAGTAATAATCAAGAATACAAACTTTAAAAAAAAAGCCTTTGAATAAATTATTACGCAGTGCAGCGGCAATTTATTTTGGTATATAGGCGTGTGCAGATTTACCGTGTGGCGCTCTGGACCTTTGGCCTACCGGCCCGGCGCACAGTGGGCCAGAAGACCGGTGGAGGCGGCCAAAATTCTGGACGCGTTTTGAGCTCCAGAGTCGTTAAATGGGACTCGAACCGAACGTGTGACCCCACCAACGGATTCCTCGTTCGGAGAGCAATCCATTGGTGGGGTCACACGTTCGATTCGAGTCCTGTTTAGCGACTCTGGAGCTCAAAACGCGTTTAGAGTTTCGGCCGCCTCCACCGGTCTTCCAGCCCACTGTGCGGCGGCCCGGCACAGGCATGCCGGCCGAACCGCATACCTCCGAAATGAAAAATGACAGCCCCAAGCCTCAAGCCCCACACCGTATTTCTTTCTTGTTTCTACGACCGAGAAAAAAATGGGGGTGGGGGGCCTTGGCTGCAACGGACTCTAAAATAAGAGCGTGGCTGCAGCAAGCCTTTGGGGCCAGGGTCGGCCAGGCAGGGCACACACACTGTGGGTCGCTTCAAAGCGAGACCCTTTGCGACCTTTTTTTGCCGCCACTGCATTCCGACGGGGACCCAAAGGACGCAGCACGGCTCGCAATCGGTCAGATGCAGGCGTGCGTGCACAGTGTGGGGCGACTGCAGGCGGACCGTGTTGTCGTAGCGCCGTCTCTCTCGCACTCACGGGGCGTGCCGTCCACCACGTCCGCGGTGCGAGAGAGACGGAGCCAGAGCGCTGCTCGCTGCACCGCGGAGAAGGCCAAGGAGGCCGAGGAGGCCCCCGCAGCCCCCGTGTCAGCGTGCCAGCCCGCACCGTACAAACTAATAAAACTCAGGACCGCATGAATATTTCAGATGACACGATGTGTCTGTGTGCTCAGGCCGTGCCCCGGCCGAGCCCCGGCCACGGTGTAAAGCCTAAGGGGTGCCGCCCCACGCTTTACATCACCACACCGGGCACACCGAAAAAAAAGGACTTCTTTATGGTGGCGAAGGCATAACTTGGCGAAATTCGAGATTTTATTTCGCGGGGGGTTAGCTGGTTACCGCCCCGGTCTGGGTCTGTCTGTGAGTACGGAAGTGCACGGACACGTTATAGCGAGAGACGCGGCGAACCACAGTGAGCCAGAAGACCGTGGAGGCGGCCAAAACTCTAGACGCGTTTTGAGCTCCAGCGTCGCTAAATGGGACTCGAACCGAACGTGTGACCCCACCAATGGATTTCTCGTTCGGAGAGCAATCTATTGGTGGGGTCGCACGTTCGGTTCGAGTCCCGTTTAGCGACTCTGGAGCTCAAAACGCGTCTTGAGTATTGGCCGCCTCCACCGGTCTTCTGGCCCACTGTGCAAACGCGGCTTATTCCTGGGAATGACGCTCGCCTGCAAACGTGTGGTTTCGCGTCGAGCGTCAAATGCCAAATGGTTCCTGCGACTGATGCCTGGCCTTTTTCTTTTTTCCAGGATGCTTCTGCCTGGAACCGGAGTTCCAGTTCCCCTTGAAGAACCTGTCCGTGCCGCAAGGCCGTGACGCCATGTTCACCTGCGTCGTCAATAACTTGGGCGGCCATCGGGTGAGCTGCTCAAGTCTGTCTGTCTGTCTGACCGTCTGTCTGTCTGTCTTCGCCCACACCTGCACCGTACCGCACCTCGCCCTGGCACCGTGTGCCTAATGCACTGGAAATGCTCACCTCTTTCTCACGCTGTCAGCCTCTGGAGTCTCGGAAAGCAAGCACACCTACTGCCGGCCGCAGGCCACTGGTTTTGTTTGTTTGTTTTCGTGGGATGGTTTGCTTGTTTCACTGTAATTAGAATACTTGCACTTACAGGTGTGTACACGCACTACCCGCGCACTCTTCGGGTCGACACTGCTTTTTGCACGCCCGACCGTCAGACCACCGTCGGGGAGAACCAAAACTCGAGACGCGTTTTGAGCTCCAGAGTCGCTAAATGGGGCTCAAACCGAGCGTGTGACCCCACCAATGGATTCCTCGCGGTGAGAGCAATCCATTGGTGGGGTCACTCGTTCGGATCGAGTCCCATTTAGCGACTCTGGAGCTCTAAACCCGTCGGGGATATGGACCGCCTCCACCGGTCTTCTGGCCCACTGTGAGACCGTCAGCGGAGAGGGGCGGCCGGTGGCCCACGAGCTGGGCTGGACACTAGTCTCCACGAAAAAGTAAACAGTAAAAATGGAGGGCCGATATCCGAACCCAGCTGCAGAGCACCCCAATGGAATTTTTAATTCTTTTTCTTTTTCAAAAAAGCAAAATATCGATTGCCTTTTTTTTTGCGACGCACTTGGGTTCGAATACCAGGTCCCTTGGCATCATGGCCCGTCCTGCCTGGAGGACTCCGAGGTCGGGGAGGGAGGGGGGCAAGGGGGAGGGGGCACGCTTGCTCACCCACCCTCGTCTCCGAGGCACTGCTAGCTTGTCTTCGGAACCCGCACCCCTCGGCCTCGGCCGTCCCGGCCCGGCCCGTCCCAAAGGCATGTTAAGGTGCTCAAACGGGGCCTTAATGTTCACGGGAAGTTGGCAAGTGTGCACGAGCCGAGATCGCTTTGCATAGGAGTGGCAGGCGGTGCCTTGAGCCGCTCAACGCTCAAAAACAAACTTGCGCCATTGTGCCCTCAAATAAGCTTCCTGCAATTCACTGCCTGAAAATGACATCGCCAAGCGATGCTTTTCTTGGTTTATTTTTTTTGGTACATTTGTTTTTGTTTTTTCGTTGTTCTGTTTGGGGGTTGGGGGTGTTTTTATTTTCTCTCCGTTTTAGTATGTTGTGGCGTCACCGCACTCATCCAGAGGCGAATTAGCATTGCAGACGAACTCGTGGAAGTGGCACCTCAGATAAAAGTGTGAATATATGCAGTGCGGGTGAGTGTGTGTGTGTGTATGTGTGTGTGCGTGTGTGTGTGAGTGAGTGGCCTTGACAAGTTTGAGTGCTTAAAAGCAAGATTTGAGGCAAAGAGAACCTTACTGAATGTGTTAATAAAGGCCATGGATTTCGTTTTTGTTTTTGTTTTTAAATTTTGTTTTAAATTTCACGTTTTTGTTTTGGGGCACCAATGCACTTAGTTTGACACAAACACACTATTATAAAGCACCTAGTCCTAGCTATCGCAATATAGATCACCACTTCGCATTTTCTCACTGTAGTAGTCCTCTCTTTGAACACTAAAATAGAGTGTATTTTGATTGACTTCAACCTATGATGAAATTCATGAAAATGTCTTGAAAAATCAGTTTGTCAATAATATTTCACATTTAAATGGAAAACGAAATGATGATGTCGTCTTCCGTTTTTTTTTCAACCTTATTGGACGAAAACGGCGAACAACCCTTTCGGTTGTTCGCGGGAGTTGAATCTTTAACATTTCTTAAAATGGTGTTCTCTGTTGCAATTGTTCCTTGCCTCCGAGCAGAAGTCGCCGTCGTCGGCACAGGTATGTTCCATCCTTAGCCATCCGCACTTTGTCTCTTTTCTGCCTGTCGTCTAACGACTTTTACGTGGGAATGTCCTCCAATCGAAAGATTGAGAGATCGAGGGAGGTCCGACACGGGTTGAATTGCCGAAACAATCCCCCACACTGTGCTGTAACTTCACTGCTCCTGTTTACTTCCCAGCATACACTGTGAACGACGCTCTGTACTGAGTACTTTGCACATTGAGGACCACACAATAATTGTGTACCGACCGAGTGAACATTTTCACTGCCAAACTGTTCACTGACTTACTCTACGCCCTCGTTTCCTCAGTGACAGTGTACCCTTTCAAGTTTTGAAAAAAGGAAAATCCTTTACTTCCGGGACGCTCCTTTCCACGTCAAAGCGGCAACTTCCGGTTCAGAAACAGCCAAGGCGGCCGTGCTTTGGAACACTCGTCGGAACGTGCCCCGCTGCAATCCACCTGCCGAGATTGAGAAAAGTCGCCGCTCCGTCTCTGCCGCACTCGCGTGGCTCTCCGTGGGGGTGCGAGAGAGACAGACCGCTCTTCTGGATCGCTCAACTGGAAGCAGAGCCGAGCAGCGCGCGCGCCGGCGAGGGGTGCCCTCCGCCCCGCCCTGCGCCCCACGGCCTACCCGCAGGGCCGCAGGGCCGCGGGCCCCGCAGACGTTTCTTTCACATGTAAAGCAGGTGGCTTCTTAAGATGCGACACGGAGTGGAACCACGGGCCCCGTCCCGCAGCGCCGCAGAGGCAGCCCCCCCCCCTCCCCCAACCCCCTGTGCCCTTTGCCAAGGTGCCCGCGTGCACTTAGCTCCACTCCCTTGCTCATCTCCATGCAGCGACGCAGCGGCGGCCTGCCGGTGCTGGGCCCGGGATGCGGTCTGGCGCTCGGTCTGGCGGACGGCAGTCGGACGTGAGCGAGAGAGTGTTTGCAGGTCTTCTGCGACGTCTCTCTGCTACGGCTTTGCCGCCAGCGCGCACCGCACCGCACGGCGGACAGCTACCTGCAATTTTTGGTCCCGCTGCCTAGCCACTGCCAAGAGGAGAGGGGGCCCTGCCGGTGCTGGTCCCGGATGTCTGGCCTCGTGTTGTTGCGTGCGCGTCGGACGTGAGCGAAAGTGTTCATGGTCTTACTAAGAGCGTAACTCTTAGCTTGAGTCAAGCACGTTACGCTTGGAAGACGGTACGCTGAATCAAGCATAGGCTGAAATTCCCCCATGGCATTTAGAAGGGAAAATTGCGCATGAGCCGTTACGCTTGATTTCAAGCGTAAACTGATTACGCTTGAAAACAGTGGGTAAAACTACGCTTTAGTTTTACCAGTGAATGGGCAGCCACCTCTTCATTTGAGTTTTTTACTCTCCTGCTTGTCAATTTATATGAGCTTTTTTGACCAGGCAAGCATCTGATCAATAAATTCGAGCCGAGGGGGCAAACAACTTGAATTTTTCCCTTAAAATAACGTGAAATTGACTTGAAATAAGGTCGAAATAACGCTGAAATAATATCGTTGGAATAACGCGAAATAACGTTGAAATAGCAATGAAATAACGTGAATTTTGAAAACGGTGTACAAATTTTGACGAAGTTGTTTGCCCCTCGATTCGAGCGTCGCCAATATTTTAGTACTTTTTTGTGAGAAAGTGGTCACGAGCAGAATAAAACAATGAACACAATAAGCACAGTAGTGTCGGGGGTGGTGTTGAACATTGAACCAATTCACTTACTTTGATGGCCTCATTTTGCTCTGGATGGAGCACCAAGCAATAGGAACCCCCGCCCCGCGCGTTTGCTTGTGGCAGAGAGAGAGACGGAGAGAATAGCATGTAAATGTTCATTCAAACACGGAAGGGGCGTGCCTGCTATGGGGTCAGCCGGCCGCGGGGCAGGGGGAGGGGACACAGCTCTGCATTGCAATATTCAGGAAGGGGCGCTCGAATCGGGCCACTGGCGCATCCGCCACATTCTATCGGAGAGCCCATGCCACGGGACGGATTCCGAGAGTCGTCTTCGTCGCGCTCTGTCTCTCTCGCACCCACAGGGACGCCCCGAGAGTGCGAGAGAGACAGAGCGACGACCCTCGGCGGAGAGTCTTTTCGCCGAGAGGGAGGACTAGGGAAGCCCTGTTGCATATCCGTTCGGCGTTGCCTAGCGACGCGTCATTCTCGGACGTGCCTTGCAGTGGAGGAGCGTGACAGCAGACCGATTGAGAGGGTCGTCGCTCTGTCTCTCTCGCACCACTGCGGGACGCCCCAGGAGTGCGAGAGAGACAGAGCGAGAAGCAGCCTGCAGGCGGGTGAATCTGGAACGAAGAAAGGTCACGGGGTGATGACGTGCGGTGACACGGCAGAATGGCCTCCGCCGCGCCAACCAAACAAAAGATGCAATAGTACAGAAATTACAGAAATACAGACTCGAGGAGGCGGCGTGATCTTTGATTCGTCTTGCGAGGGCGGGCAGTGCGGTGTGCGGGTGTGTGGTTGGGGACAGGGCCTGGAGCCATCCTGGAGCCCTGTCTCGGGGCTGGGCACTGGCCGACACAGTGGTGGGTCTAGAGCCAGCCTGAGGGACGGGCAAACGGAAGCCCTTTTTGCCTACTTCCAGGTCGAAAGTGTGGCTCTTCGCCTATCCTTCAGGCGGCTGACTAGACGCCAAGTGGGGGCCAACTGCCCTTAGTGGGCCAGAAGACCGACGCCGGCGGCCAAAACACCAGACGCGGTTTGAGCTCCAGAGACGCTAAACAGGACTCGAACCGAGCGTTTGACCCCACCCATGGATTCCCTGTTCCGAGAGCCCATTGGTGGGGTCACGTTCGCTTCGTGTCCTATTTAGCGACTCTGGAGCTCAAAACGCGTCCGGGATTTTGACCGCCTCCACCGGTCTTCTGGCCCACTGTGGATCCGCGCACGGGCTAACGGCGTGCTGCTGCAGGTTGCCTGGATCAAGTCGGACACCAAGGCCATCCTGGCCATCCACCAGCACGTCATCACCAACAACGCGCGGCTCTCGGTCACCCACAACGACGTCAACACCTGGACCCTCAACATCCGGAACGTGCAGCGCGAGGACCAGGGCACCTACATGTGCCAGGTCAACACGGACCCCATGAAGAGCCAGGTGGGCGAGTGGGCTTTGTTGTTGTTGTTTGTGTTGTTGTCGTCGTCTTGGCGAGCCGCAGTCCGTTGTGTGGGTGGGCAGTGCCGCCACGCGGGCCTGCTCGGCAAAAAGAAGTTCCCTAGTTCCCTGGATTTCCCTGAAACTGCCTGGAAAACGTCCTTGTCTCGACTTTGGGCTACCAGGGAAGACCAGGGACCTTTTTTTGCCGTGCGCCCACCCACGGTGTAACGCCAAGGCCGCCTCACGTTGCAGACGGCCTTCCTGGAGGTGGTCATCCCCCCCGACATCGTGTACGAGGAGACGTCGGGCGACACGATGACCCCCGAGGGCGGCAACCTGAAGCTGCGGTGCCGCGCGCGGGGCTACCCGCCGCCCAGGATCGTCTGGAAGCGGGAGGACGGCGGCGAGATCGTGGTGCGCAACGACTCGACGGGCAGCAAGACGAGAAGTACGAACTTGCTAACGGTCTACTCACCCCTAGTCTCTAAGGTTCTCCATATTATTGTGAAAATTTACTATGGTGGTGGTCCAGCTGACTTTGTAACTAACCTATGAAAATTCGTTGTATCGTATTAATATTATGTTGAATTTCTTTCTATCGTATTGTGGGGAAAATCTCCACCACAACTCTGCAAACTGAAGTGTGTACATAGTACACTCTTATTAGAGCACACTTCCAAGTACACTCTTATTTACAGCATACTTGCTAGGCACACGCTAAAAAAGAGTGTGCCTGGCAAGTACACGCCAAATAAGTGTGTACCTTCCATGTACACGCTAAAATACACTCGATAAGTCCTATCTTAAAGCATGGACCAGTTTAAGTGCACTTGCCAGGTACACTCTTATTTAGCGTGTACATGCAATGTACACTCTATTTTAGTGTGTGCCTAGCAAGTATGCTGTAAATAAGTGTGTACTTGGAAGCATGCTCTAATAAGAGTGTACTATGTACACACTTCAGTTTGCAGAGAATATGCTAGCGCAACCTTTGAATTACACTGAATTTCGGTGTACTACAAATCAAATGGATTTCAGTTGGATTTCGAATGAATTTCGGTCAAAAACTCGTAAATTTGGAGAAGAATTTCGATAAATTTTAACGACTTTCAGTGAATTTGAATTTTTGATTAAATTTGAATAAATTTTGTTAAATTTTAAAATTTTAAAGAACTTTGATGAATTTTTGTAAATTTTAAATTTTTGATGAATTTTAATGTGCAAAGTTGGCTAGAGTTGTTGCCCCTTGAGCGCAACCTCCCACCCTGAGCCGTTTAGAGTGTACACTCCGGCTGGGGGCGAGGGACGAAGGAGGAGAGGGGCGGCCGATACTTTGTCTCGTTCCCCTGACCGCTCGTCAGCGAGGGAAGCTGTTTTCTTCGGGACGGGCTCAGTGACTGGCACTAATTTGGTTCCAGAGCACGCCGTGGAGGGCGAGGACCTGGTGCTGCACAAGGTGACCCGCTCCGAGATGGGCGTCTACGTGTGCATCGCCTCCAACGGAGTGCCGCCGCCCGTCAGCAAGCGCCTCATGCTCTTCGTCAACTGTGAGTTCCAAAAAAAAATTAAAGATAAATAAACTTTAACCCAATAACGAAGTGCAATGTTCCAGTACACGCGACCGGAAATCCGACCTGCGCAACTTTTTCAGTCCGTGACGAGAAACTTGGGTTTGGAACGACACGTAACATTCCCGCAGCTCGCTCCGCCCACGTACGGCGAGTGTTTCGCTCACGCACTTCACTCACACACACACAAACGTCGCTTGCCATTATTCGCCTTGCTACGACACACAACTCTGGCAGACACGCGTACACACACGCGCGCGCGCGCACACACACATTCACACTAGAGAGCGCGGCAAAAAAGTTGCTCTCGCAACAAAGTATATGCATTCAGTAAGCAAAAGTAAGTGGCCCGGATGCGTTCGTGGGCCCCTTTCACCGTCACATGGACACAACACACACACACACACACACACACACACACACGAAGACAGGGACAGAAGAACACCCACGCGCGTTCACACACACGAAGACAGACAGAGACAGAAGAACACTCGCACACACGCACGCACACACGCAGGTACGTTGTGGCTTGAGGAAAGCCGGGAGGGAAGTTCAGGGGGAGGGAGGGAGAACACGGAATCCAAGCGGCAGAACTAACAGTATCAAGAATTTGCCGATATTAATAACTGCTTAGTTGGATCACATACGAGGCCGAGGAGACGAGCTCGTCTCTCCACCCCCAACTTGCCTGAGCCCTCTCTCTCTCTCTCTCTCTCTCTCTCTTTTCACTCGCTCTGTGCCACAACGGGCTTGCCAAATAAGCCTCGGTCCTGCCCGCCCTGCCTGCCCTTCACAAGGTAGCGACAAAGCGGGGCTTCGCAGCGTCTCGGGTCGTGCCGGTGGCAGCCACGTGGAAAGGAAGGGCGAGGCACTGTTTGAGCGCTAAACCCGGACAAACCCGGACAAACCCGACGGACGGGACGGGACGGTCTGGTCGAGGACGAAAGGACTCGTCACTGCGGGAGGAGCTTCAGTTGTTTTCCTTTTCCCGTGAACTGAATTCATCAAAGTCTGAAAAGTCGCAGCGAAGAGTAAATCCTCCTCCAAGGACCTCTGCATCATTCCAGATCATTCACATGCAACAGCACAACGCAAAATCCAGCTCTGCTCACGTGGTTGCCGCAAAACCACTCTGTACATGGAACGGTCGGACTCAGGGCCAAATTACGGCATGCCGATAAGCCACGCCCATGGGATGGAAGTCACGCCGCAAAACGGCATGGCATGCGAGTTACGACCTTTCCCCGGCGTGGTTAACTACCTTGTGGGTTATTGGTTCCTTCACCAATGCGTTTAACGGGAAAAGTCATGCAAAGAAATATGGGCACGACAATTTTTGGCGTGACTTCTCTGTCATGCGGGGTGTTTTTCTCGACGCTCCTAAAACCTTGAGTATGAACATACATACTAAACTTATTTAGTTATTGTTATGAGAAGGAATAGTTCGTAAATTACGAACTATTTTCATTGTACGCTTACGTATACCCAAAATAATTTGCTATATGAAGCTATTTTACTTCGGAAGGCTGAAATAGTTTGTAAGGTTCAATTCAGAGTGGAGACCTTTCATTCATGAACCTGAAAAGGCACGAAATGGCCGATACATTTTGAGTGCAGGCGAGCCATCGTCTCCGTGGAAACAAACGAATCGATTCCTCTCTGTTGGCAGTTCACCCGCTGATCCAAGTGCCCAACCAGCTGGTCGGTGCGCCCGTCGCCACCGACGTGACGATCCAGTGCATCGTCGAGGCCTGCCCCAAGGCCATCAACTACTGGACCAGAGAGAAGGGTACGTCGGTTGGCAGCAGAGTGTAGAATTTTTTTAAAATTCTTGGTGAACACCTATTGATTTCAATTTTCTGTTTTGATCAATCCTAATAGGCCCTTAAAAACTATCAAAAACTGGAGATAGACGTATCGAAACTTTACCAGGTACAGTCAAACTCCTCGTTTTGTCCCTCTTCTGGGTCCTTCGTTTTGTCCCAGAGTCATCCCCACCATTGTGGCGCGGGTCGCGCCCCGCCGGCCGATGCCTGCCGTCGCTGACCGGCCAGGTAGGGATTAGGGCGGCCTAATCCTCATCGGCCGGCCGGCCTCGGTCCTTCGTTTTGTCCGCAGCAACTCCCGGGTAGAGGGACAAAACGAGGAGTTTGACTGTATTTGTCAAAGCGAAATCCAGAACATTTAAATTTAAAAATGTAAAAATTTAAATTTAAAAGAAAAGGAGATCAAGTAGACCCTTTTTTTGAGTCCCTCTTTTCAATTTTAAATGTTCTGGCTTTGTAATAAATACTTGGTAAAATTTCGATACGTACATTACGGTACATCATCAGTTTTGATATGGATTCAACGAACCAAAGATATTTCCTATGCATGTTTTCATCGGCTGCCTTTTTCTATCGGTGTTGTTCAGGGGAAATGATCATCAACAACGACAAGTACCAGATGGACGAAAGCCCCCAGTCGGCCTACGGCGTTCTCATGAAGCTGACGGTGCGAAAGTTCCGGAAAGCGGACATTGGCGCCTACAAGTGCATATCCAAGAACTCGATCGGCGACGCGGAGGGCATCGTGCGACTGTACGGTACGTGGCGTGACAAACTGGTGACAACACGGGGAAAATATACTTTGTTCAGGTGATCGACTGTGTTCGATAGTCTAAAATCGAAAGCTGCCATCGAAAATATGATACCTACAAGCAAAAGCTGGCTGCTACGACCGGCGTACACTTTAAAGTCTGTACCCGGTTTCTGGAGGTATTTACCCCCTCCAGACAACAACAAAGAAGTAGTATTTTTTGCGCGAAGGCCTGCACACTGCTCGCTAGCTTCCTGCTAGCGATAAAATTGAGTCGCCCGCCCAGTGGAGCGCAGTACGGAGTATAGTACACTAAAGAGTTGCTCCGAATAATCACGCAAACACTGGTGAAACAAAGGCATAAAAATTATGCCCTTAAAGGGCGTAAACGATTTACGCCCTTAAAGGGCATAAATCGTTAATGCCTTTGGGAAGGGCATTAAAATTTTGCTTGAAATTCCTATACCATTTACGCCCTTCCCAAGGGCATAGAACGATTTATGCCCTTGCAAGGGCGTAAAAGAGTATTTATGCCCTAAAGGGCGTAATTTTTATGCCTTTGTTTTACCAGTGAAGCCACTCGACGGCAGTCGTCATCGAGGGCCTAGCTTCAGACGTGACCACTCATCCAGACGCACAGTACTGGTGTTCTTTGTTCCTCAAAAAAAATCGAGAGTGCGCAAGCCGCATTTATACTATTAAAGCAAATAACTTTTATGTTACCCGTGTTCTTTATGAGGGGTTTCATTCAACCATACAATAAGTAACGTGTTTTTTGGTTTGTTTTATTTAACCAGAAATTAAGGAATGTTAATAGTGATTCTAATGCCGGAAAATTTCCGGGGGAAAATGCAGAAAATTTCTGAAAATTTCCGTATTTTTCCAAGAGCCTTGGAAAAGATGGAAAAATTCAAAACAATGCGCATTTTGCATGTTAATGTTTTTTTTTCGACCAGAAAATAAGTTATCTTTTGGCTTTTTTTTCTTTTTGCAGAGCTGACCCTGCCCAGGCGGAAGTCCCTGGAGCTGGACCCGGAGCAGCAGCTGTCCGACGCGCACCTGCAGGACACGCTGCCCGAGGACGCGGAAGAGGCCCTGGACGAGGAGGACGCCGAGGCTCCCTCGCCGGACGAGGCCTCAGGGACTTCGGCCTCCTCGTCGGCGACCTCGACGGCCACCCCTGTGCGCGGTGGCCTTGCCGCCCTGCTGATGCTGGTGCTGCTGACACCGCTGAGGCACTTCTAGGTCACCTTCGAGACCGTCCGCGAAGTCGACCTCAAAATAAACTGATAAAACCTTGCGGCCGGCCTGCACTATCTAGGTGCGCTAGTGTGCGGCAGGCGGTGAAGGCCATGCTCGTGGACCGCGGCCCCGTCTCCAGCATAGACTGACTGCCGTGTGGCGTTTGGGAGAGGGAGAGAGAGAGAGAAAAAGAGAAGAGAGGGGTAAGAGGCTCGACTGCGCACTACTGTATCCGAGCGTTGCGTAACACCGTCTCCCTCCCGCTGGCGCCAGCAACCGCCAGCAACCCGGCAACTCTTTCCTTGCGCGCGGCCCGACCCTCGGCAGCGCCCGCCAGCTCGGCGAACTGCGGTGGCCGGCAAGCAAAGTGCATGATGTGTCAAGTCCTCGCGATCGCGACCGGACAGTGAAATCGACATTGCAAGGCTCGTCACTGTAAGGTTCTGTGAAAATGAACGAGTTTCCTCGGCGTGCTGGGCTGGTTCAGTGACGTGTGGCACCGCCGACAGTCGCCGCGTTGTCGTCGGACACGACAGAGTGACGAAACACTTGTTCAGCGGACGGTGACGTCAATGGCGTCAACGCACCGATAACTAGTGATATCAAGTCAACCGCTGATAGTTGTGAAGCCACCTGTCTGCCAGATTCTTCCAAGGTTTGGAGATCACGTGAAAATTCGCCTTCTTGACATAAAACGAGAGATGGAGACCGTTAGCTTACATTTTTTGTGATGTGTAAAGAATTATTACACAACTTGGTGCAATGGCCGGTACTCATATGAAGTGCCAGACTGTATCACAATAACCCAATGTACAGCAGAACTATAGATAAGACCTGCTTCAAAATACTGTGCGATTTGTTACTAAGCATCAAAGTAGGTTTCTGTCATTTGTTCAAGCTTTGATGTAGAGCAATAACAGAGTGCGTGAACTCGGTGATTTCTTTTGTTTCTATCGGAAACATGTAAACGTAATTTTACTACTTATGGCAAACTGTTATAAACTGCAAACATGTACATAAAGCTAGCTGCAATCGATTGTTATAAAACTTAACATTATGTTATAAAGGTGACTCCTCATGCCCTTCCACTCTCAGCAGCACACATGCTAGGTAAGTCTCGACTCGATACACTGCAGTCGAAGTGCTGCTACACTCTATGAACAAAGTTAAATTAAATTGGTGGACATTCAGTTGATTTTCCCCATGTACTCAGACACAGGCAGAAAAAGTACTCTTGACAAAGAGTTGGCTAACACGACTAAATTTAATAGTTTTAATCGTGTCGTCATAACCACATCTTGGTCAAAGCGCTTCAGTCGTTTTAACCTTGTTTTAAAAGTTCGTTGGAAACACTGGGTTCTTCATCCGAGAGCATATTTGCCTCACAGTGATCCAATGCTCTCAACTATTCAAAAAGCATACACCAAAGTGGGGGAAAAATCTCGCTTCGAGAACTCTCTCTTTTTAGCAGATGATACCTTTGGTACCTTTGCTTTAAAATATACCTAATACTACGAGACACAAAGGTGTCAGCTAGCTTTTACTCCAGAGTCCAGAAACGAAGTGCGTATCCTAACAATATAATAGGGGCGGGCTGCCGGGGCGGGATGGTGAGTCTGTCTGGCTGTGGCGCGGCGCAGCCTGCGCGGAATTCAACAATGCTTCCGGCTAGGCTCAGCCCCGCGGGCCCCGCGGACCCCGCGCGGCAAGGACTCTTGGAACCATTCGTTGGCTATCACAAAGATGAGAGCATCCTGCCAAAACTAGCACACACGACAGCACCAGACGAGTATCATCTGCTTTCATTAACGTTCGTTGAATGAGATTTTTTACAGTGTACCTTAGGACCTGCTTTAAATATACCTAATATACGAGACAAAGGGAGTACTTTTATCCAGAGCCAGAAACGAAGTCTATCCTAACAATTAATAGGGGCGGCTGCCGGGGCGGGATGGTAGTCTGTCTGGCTGTGGCGCGGCGCAGCCTGCGCGGAATTCAACAATGCTTCCCGGCTAGGCTCAGCCCCGCGGGCGCCCGCGGACCCCGCGCGGCAAGGACTCTTGGAACCATTCGTTGGGCTATCACAAAGATGAGAGCATCCTGCCAAAACTAGCACACACGACAGCACCAGACGAGTATCATCTGCTTTCATTAACGTTCGTTGAATGAGATTTTTTTTCAGTGTATGCGTCACGCACGTGCTCGGCATTTATCTGAGAACTTTCCGTGCCGTTTGAATGGAATTGCACGTTCAGTGCCCGGCAGTATCTCATCCCATTTACTGCCAGCAGATTAGATTCTTGTGGCAACAGGCAAACCGCGCCTGTTGAGGAGTAAAGCAGTAAAAACACAACGCAAACATCGAAACCAGCTGTGCAGCTGATTAATTTTTACCTCAAATTATCATTTTGTTAAAGATTTTCTTGAACAATCGTAAAGAAATTCCATCTTTGTCGCCTGAGGCGAGTTTTACAGCACAAGTCTTTGACACCCAGCTCTCTTCAACGGACCCGTTTTCTCTGAATCTCAAGTAAGATTATGGAAGAAGAAGATAATGAATCAAAATCAGAAACAACTGGGAAAAAGCGTATAAATAGGTGGTTTACGATTTGTTCAAGGGATTAAACGGTGCATTATTTATATTTCGACAGACGTGCCAAAGATAATCTAGTTGGTGAGTTGAAAACGAAGGTTCATCTGACCTATCTACCTCATTGAAGCTTCAGCGGATGTGAGGGTCTCTATTTTTAGTCCGCATGGTCCGTAATAAGCGAAGCGTAGCTCTTATCACTTACCGTTGTTGCCCATTCACGGGCCTAGGTTGCTGACCCTGGTGCCCATCCGGCCCGTCCACACCCAAAGACTCAAAGACTTTGCCCAAAATTCAAGCACCGCGCTGCTACTGTACACTGTGCGGCAACAGAGCTCGCCCGTTGCCAGACACGAGGAAGAATGCATTGTCCTTCGGGCTGGGCGGGGTGGAGGGGAGCAAGGGAGGGGAGGGGGAAGGGGGCTTTGTGGGGAAAAGTCGGCCGACCAATGAAGGAGCCTGGTCTATCTTATCAGCTGGTGTCGCGGCTCTTATCACTCAAGTGTGCCGAAGAAAATTTTCCCGGTTCCCGTCCCGGCCTACCCGGCCGACAAGGAAAAACGCATAGTGAGCGCGGCGAGGCCCGGCAAGCCCGGCAAGCCCGGCAAGGCGCGGAACGGTCGTGTTAAGTCGTTAGTCTCTTTTCCTCTTGCTGTTGTTGCTGCTGCTGGTGCTTCGACCCCGCGCTGCACTCGTCGCCCAGTTTCTCAGAATCACACGTTCGCGGCTCTGGCGAGCTGCGGGCTGTACCGCGAGGCACCGCGTCGCCTTGGGCGCCCTGGCGGTCCGGATGAGTTGCATCCATGCACTGCCAAAAATCGCAGTCGCCTCGCAGAGAAGATGAGAGCGGTTCGGGTGAGCAGACTGACGTGTTGGTTTCAGATTGCGGCCTCTCCCAGGCTTCTGTGCGCCGTCGGAGCAGTTTGCCCAGCCCTTGCATGACGTGTACTCGCCTCGTCCACTAGTCGTGTCTTTAAATTTAAAAGTAAATTTCGGAAATTTTATAAAAAAAAATTTTGTCCTGGGGGCAACAAAGTGTGTGTCTCTTCTTTTCTATCATTTCCTTTCTGCTGAAACGTGTCTGTGAGTCGTGATCGTGAGTCGGCGCGCCGGTTTTCGTGCTACTGGGAAAGCTGCCTGCGTTCACTTCGTGCGAGACAGATAAGGGCGTTTTCGAGTTAAAAGGAAACCCACATTTTATCTTAACGATTTATTTCTACCGAACAGGGACGTGCGTTGAAAAATAATTAACAGTTTAAAGTCATTTCACTTTGCCTTTTGGGGTTCACAATATGTTCAATTCCTCTCCTCTTCTATTTGAAATATTTTATACTTTTGCTTCCTGGCATTGCCCTCAAGATTATTTAAACGACGTACTCCCTACAACATAAACGCGATCGCATCCTGTTCGCAATACCTGCACCCGCAATACTGTCCTGTTCCAAGCTCATTAACAGACCGTTATTGAAAGCCATCTGTCTGGCCGCGCGGAGCGCGCAGGCGCAGGCCGGCGGCACTGCCAGCTGACTGATTCACTCTGTCTCTCTCGCACTCACGGGGTGTCCCGTTTCGGTGCGAGAGAGACAGCGACGAAAACGACTCTCTGAATCAGTCTGCTGCTCGCAGCCTGCCAGCCCGTCGATCCCTCGGGCCCTCGAAAAAAAAAGGGATTGGATAATCTCCCCGAGAGGAAGAAAAACAAGCGTGGTAACTTTATCGCGGACTCAGTGCCGAGGTGTCGGTGTCGAGGTGTCGGTGTCGAGGTGTCAGTGTCGAGGTATAGGTGTCGAAGTTTCGATGTCGAAGAGTCGATGCCGAGCTGCCAGTGCTAAGGTGTCGGTGCCGAGGTGTGGGGGTCGAGGTGTCAGTGTCGAGGTGTCGGTGCCGAGGTGTGGGGGTCGAGGTGTCAGTGTCGAGGTGTCGGTGTCGAGGTGTATGTGTCAAAGTTTCGGTATCAAGGTGTCGACTTGTCAGTGTCGAGGTGTAGGTGTCAAAGTTTCGGTATCAAGGTGTCGAGGTGTCGGTGTCGAGGCGTATGTGTCAAAGTTTCGGTATCAAGCGAGAAGGAAATCACTCGCGTAATAGTCGGGTCACCGATTCCCAGTATTACGCGTAATAGTAATAGCGTAATAGCCAAATTTTTTAAAAATTTCCCTATTTAGGGTCCGATTTTAGGCTAAATCTGGATATTTTCGAGCGTAATAAGCCCTCTGTAATAGCGTAATAGAACGTAATAGGGAGTAGTCGGGTCACAGTTTTGAAGAGTGATTTCCCCCTCGGTATCAAGGTGTCGAGTTGTCAGTGTCGAGGTGCAGGTGTCAAAGTTTCGGTATCAAGGTGTCGAGTTGTCAGTGTCGAGGTGCAGGTGTCAAAGTTTCGGTATCAAGGTGTCGAGGTGTCCAGGTGCCGGTCGCGGTGTGGCGGTGTGGCGGTGTGCTCCGCACTTCCGCAGCGCGCCTGCGTGCGCGCGACCGGCAACCTGCCCACGTCGATGTCCTGCGGGCCGGCCTACCCGACGCACCGCAGGCGCTCTGGCTATTGCCTTGAGAACACGGCCGACGCTCTGCCGCTCTGCAGTGCATGCACGGGGCTCGACACGGGGACACTTCAGGGGAAAAGGGGGGGGGGGGAAACACGTGGCAGAAAGCCGCCGGCGGGGGAAGAGAAAAGAATTGGCCCCCCAGGGCCAGCGCCGCTAGCGGCCTGACGGCGGTGGTGGCGGCGGGGGGCGGTTGCGGCAAGTCTGGCCTTCGGTTCGATCGTGTATGGGGGCTGCATTGATTTGGAGTGGGGCGGGGCGAGGGGCGCTTTGGGCCGCCGGACGTGCGGGGGGTCAAGGAACGTACGCACGCCCACGCACACTCACTCGACAACTTACAACACAAACACTTTTAAGCCTTACGAAGAAGAGTATAGCTTTTCATAACAAAGTATTTTGAGCGTATAAGCCTAGTACAAGAGAAAATAGTTCGTCGCATGACAAACTGAATAGTTTGTATCCTACACATGTGCGGTCAAAATACTAAGTCAGGTTTTGTGCAAAATCAAGAAACGTTCATATCTCTCTCTCTCTCTCTCTCTCTCTCTCTCTCTCTCTCTCTCTCTCTCTCTCTCTCTCTCTCTCTCTCTCTCTTTCTCTGTCTCTCTCTCTCTCTCCCTCACTCACTCACTCACAAACGCACAGGCACAGCGTCCATACAGCCGCCCGTTCGCCGAACTGGGGCGCGCGGGTTGCGGGGTGCAGGGTGCGGGGTCCCACAGGTCCTCCCCCGGGGCCGTCTCTGCGAGGGTGCCGCGGGCTGGGCCGCGCCCTGGCCGCCCAGGCGGGGCTCGCTTCGCAGCCACCGCCAGCGGCACGGCACGACACGGCCATCCGACGCAACCCTCTACTTGTTGCGCCCCCGCCCCCCGCGCCACCCCGCCCCGCGCCGCCCCGCGCCGCCCGACGAAGAATGACCAAGACAACCTCGCGACCTGTCTCCCGGAGCGACGCGGGCGAAGGGCCTCCCTTTCTCTTCGTCTCCGCCGCTTCTCCCCGGCGGGCGGCGGCCCGGTGTCGCTGCGTCGCAGACGAAACGAGAGGTGCGAGCGAAACGGAGCGAAATGGGAATGAAAATATTGATTCCCGCGAAGGTGTGCGCGGGGCCGCGCGGGGCCGGGTCGCCGAGTGGAGTGGTGGGAATGCGAGCCCGGAGCCCGGAGCCTTTCCGGCGGGGCCGGGCGGGGCTGTCATGATGCTGCGGCTGCTGCGGGTCCGGCCCGGGCTGGCCAGGGGCTGGCCAGGGGCTGGTGGACGGGCCTGGCCGCGGGGAGGGGGCGGGGACGCGCAGCACGCCCCAGCCTCGCTGCCCTGGAAAAGAGAGACCTCGCCGTCCCCGCCGTCACCGCTGTCCTTCACGGGCCACGGGTTTCTCATGACGGACTGGAGGGTCCAGGTCCTCCAGTTTCTCCAAGTCGGCGGCAGCTTCTGACCGGCCATGTGTGCCCGGGTCTCGGTCTCGGGAGGGTTCGGCCCTCGGCTTGTTCGTGTCCATGCTCTCGCGGCCCTCTCGCGGCCTCGGGCGGTACGCTGTCTTTTGTGTTTCTCGCTCGCCAGAACCAGCGGAGGAGGGGCTGAGGGGCGAGGGGTTAGTTTCGTCCGCCTGCACCGGCGCGTGGTGGCTGTGGCGCCGGGTATGAGTGAGTGGGCTGGGAGCAGGGGGCGGGAGGGGACGGCGGCGGTCGAGCCGGGCGGGGCGTGGCGGGGAGGGGAGGGGAAGGGGCTGTCAGGGCTGCCAGGGCTGCCCGGCCGCGCGCTCAGGCTGGCTCAGGCTCGAGGGGTGGTCCTTCCCCCTCCCCGCCGCGCCGCCGCTCCGCCGCCTGTCCCTGGCCTGCCCAAGACTCGCTCCCGTCCCGGCCGTCCCGGGCTCGGCGCTCGCTCGGCGCTCGGCTCGCTCAGTGCGTAGCGGGTCGAGCTGGAAGCAGGTGCGACCGCCCCCGCCCCCTCCGGGGCCCCCGGGGTTGCGCCATGGTGGCACACAGCCCGACCGAAGCAACACCCGCCGCAGGGGGGCCGCTCGGGCCGCCCGGGCCGTCGGTCCGCGCGCCGTCGGTCCGCGCGCCGTCGCTGTCGGTTGGCGCCGGGAGTCGCTTGCAGTCCGCCCAGTCCGCCGAGCTGTCCGGGCCGTCCGGGCCGTCCGGGCGACGAGTAGGTTAGTGCATCGCGCATCACGCCGCGTCTCGCGAGCAGTGTGTCTTCTCCCTGGGCGTGCTCGCCTTGCCTGTGTGCTGTTGGATACTCTGCTGCCTTCCATGTCGGTCGAACTCGCAGACGGCTCAGCTGGATGCTTCCAGTGTCCCTCCGTCGCTCCCCCTCCCCCCTCCGCCCAGGCGAGACCTGCGCTGGCCTAGCAGCCAGCTCCTCCTCCCTCTCTCTCTTCCAGAGGACGGCACAAATTGAAAAGGCGCGACTGATGGGGGTAGTGCCGCCACCGCCCGCCTCCGCCGCCACCCCCCGCAACCCCTGCCGAGCCCGCTCCGCGCTCCGCCCGCCAGGTCTGCCAGGGCCCGACGGCCCGACCTAGCCCGAAGGGGGTACGCCTGTACCCCCCCCCCCCTCTACCCCCCCTTGTGGTCGTCAGTTTCCACAGACATTCGGCATCGCCCGGTGTGTTCGTCGTGTGCTCCGCTCACTCGGCGTTTGCTTCTCCACGCTTTGCCTGGCGCTGCCAGTGGACTGATTCCGAGAGTCGTTTTCGTCGCTCCATCTCTCTCGAATTCATGGGACGTCCCCAACAGGTGCGAGAGAGACAGAGCGACGAAAACGACTCTCGGAATCAGTCTGCTTGCCTCGCTGCTTGCCGTCCTCGTCGGTCTCTCTCGCGCGCTCGCTGTCCCGGCATTCGATTCCAGTCGATGCCGCGCTACCCCCACCACCGCGTTACGTCACCGGCTTTGGAAGCCGGAAGCGGGCCACGCAGCCGGAGGCCTTTTCCGGGGGAGGGGGGTGTACGTGCGCCGCGGCGCGTCCCGGGGCGCGGAGCGTCGCGCATGAAAACAAAACACGAAATAAAAAGCACGTGGAGCGAGAAAACGCAGAACGCGCGCGCGTGGCCTGCGGTCTGATTCCGAGAGTCGTGATGTTCGCTCCGTCTCTCTCGCACTCATGGGGCGTCCCGTACAGGTGCGAGAGAGGCAGAGCGACGAAAACGACTCTCGGAATCAGTCTGCTGGCGCGGCCTAGCGTTGGCCGGAGCGACAACGCGGTGGTAGGCGTATAATTGGTATAATCACCGCGGAGGGGAAATAGAGGACGAGTTGGCAGTGGGGAACGGGGTCGTGGGGTCGCGGGGTTTCGGGGCGGAGGGATGGAGGGATGAAAGGGGACGCGCGGCCTTGGACCCGCGCCACGCGTTTCTCGGCGAGGACGGCGAGGACGGCACACTCGCGCCAAACTGGGCACGCACGTATTCTGGACGCGTTTCACAGCGTTTCAGAGGCATCGAGCGGGACCCGCGCGACCCGACCCGACCCGACCCCCCACCCCACCCCACTCCGCCGGGACAGAGCCCTGACTGCGCGACACGGCATCTCCCGGCTTAATTAATTCATCCCCTGTTACTGTTTGATGCGCCCCGCCGGCCCCGCCCCGAAAATGGGATTCGGCGGCGATCTATTTTCAGTTCACGGTACTGACTGGTGAAGCAAATCGAACCTTGTGGAAAACGAGTTGTTTCCGGCGTGTTGCAGGCGCCGCCGCGTTCGGGACGTGCCCGCCGCGGGCGTGGGCCCCGGACCCAGCCTCTGACGGCTCGCTCAGACTCCCGCTCAACTACAAGATGACGACGGAGCCGGCGGCGGCGGCGGCCGCCATGGACATCGACGATGGCTTCTTCCGGCGGCCTCGCTCCGACCTCTCGCACCTGCACCACCTGGACGGGCGCCTGGACGGACGCCTGGAAGGACGCCTGGAAGGACGCCTGGAAGGACGCCTGGAAGGACGCCTGGAAGGACGCCTGGAAGGACGTCTGGACGGGCGCCTGGAAGGACGCCTGGACGGGCGCCTGGATGGACGCCTGGATGGACGCCTGGACGGACGCCTGGACGGGCGCCTGGATGGACGCCTAGATGGACGCCTGGACGGGCGTCGCTTCGCGCCCGGCCACGGCTTCCGATCGCCGCATTGGCCCGAGCTGGCCCTGCGCCCGCCCCACCTGCAGCGCCAGGGGCTGGGTCAGGGACTTGGCCAGGGGCTCGCCCAGGGCCTGGCCCAGGGCCTCGGCCAGGGGCTCGGCCAGGGCCTCAGCCAGGGGCCCCACTACGGCGTCTACGCGCCGCTGTACGCCGCGCACGCCGCTCGCGCCCACAAGACCATGATCTTCAGCGGCGGCCACGCCGTGGAGCAGCGCGTGCCCACCGCCCCTGACCCGGGGCTGCGGGGGCTGCGCGCCGAGCACCGGCCGCTGTTCCCCGGCTGGGGCATGGCGGGCATGGCCGGCGTGGCGCTGGGCTCGGCCTCCTCGGCCTCCTCGGCGCGCAGGAGCGTGCAGGCCATCCAGGCCCAGATGCTGGACGCCTCGCCGCTCGCCCTCAACATGGTGGCGCAGGAGGGCTCCGCTTTTCAACGAGGTGAATTTCGATCGGCCAATCAGTGAGACTCTAGTCTTTAGGGACCGCACGGCCGGGCCAGCCGAGCGATTCGCAAGGGCAGTCTGTCTCTCTCGCACCCGTACGTCCCGTGCGGAGGTCCCTGCGAGTGCGACAGAGACACGAGACTACTCTTCTGAATGGCTCGGCAGCACAGCAGCTCCTTTGTCCTCTGTGTCGACTCCGACACCGTCCATCTTTGAGCGGCCACCAGCCAATCCCTTTGAGAAGAGTTTGTCGGAAATGAACTTTGGTTTCGAGGAAAGACCTGATGAATCAAGTCCAGTCCCAATCAGGGCAACTTTGAACGCAAACATTATCACTAGTTAGTTGTCATTCTTCGGCGTACAGAGACTTCTTAGACTTAGTTTCCTAGTGATGTCTGGTGCTTGGTAAGAACGCTTTGGAGAACGTATTTTATTAGAGACATGGTAGCGAGGGAGGACAAGGCTTGTGCTTGTACGGCCCGAGTCAGTGGCCAAGCCGAAGGCCGAAGCCCGAAGCCCGAAGGCCGGCTCACAGTGGGCCAGAAGACCGGTGGAGCCGGCTAAAACTCTAGACGTGTTTTGAGCTCCAGAGTCGCTAAATGGGACTCGAACCGAACCTGTGACCCCATCTCGGAAAGCGCAATCCATTGGTGGGGGTCACACGCTCGATTCGAGTCCTGTTTAGCTACTCTGGAGCTCAAAACGCGTCTAGAGTCTTGGCCGCCTGCAACGGTCTTCTGGCCAATCCACTGTGCGGCCGGAGCACCGCCACTGTCACTCTGTCACTGCTTGGCCTGGACACTGAACCCTGACAAGCTAGTGACGACCACCATATTCTCCTTTATGATTACTTTCTATTTTTCTTTCGTAGTGGTTCGGTCCTGCTCTGATCTTCGATTCTTACCTCCGCCTTCTCATAAAGCTGCCGCTTTGCATTCCGGAGAGAAGGTATTTTACAACATTTTACCATTTTTGCCGCTTGAGCGCTGAGGGCTCCGCGCACTGCCGCCCAGCCGCGCGCTGCGCTTGGCTTGCTGCTTCGCCGCTTGGCTTTGTTTCCTCTCTTTTTATGTCCAGCAGCCGATCGGTTCAGAAGATTCGTTTCGCCAGTCTGTCTCTGTCGCACTCATAGGGCTCTCCATAAGGGTGTGAGAGAGACAGAGCGACAAACCGATTTTTTGAATCACTCGGCAGAGCGACACTGTTCAGTACACCCTTACGGGACGCCCCATAAGTGCGAGAGAGAGAGAGACCTCTCGGCCTCTCACTCGGAATCAGTCCGCAGACTGATTGGGACTGATTCCCAATGTCCTGCCGGCACCAGATTCGCCCAACAGCAGTAGAAACTAGAAAAATTAGAAACCGTAGAAAGGAGTACCCGCGCCCCGCGCCCACGTCGCATTGGCATGGGCCAGTGGGCGTGCCGAGTTGCACAGTTTGAAAACAAGGCGCGCTTGGGCCTTGCCGCGGGCTGCCGCTATTTGCAGCAAACCGAGCAATCGGGAATCATTATTTCCAGTCGCGAGGAGGAAAACTGGCTGGGTCGGCAACGACGCAACAGCCTTAGCAGACGATTGGTGGAGCTTCGACAGTCGGACTCTCCCGATTGGCTAGTGTTTGTTTGTGTTGTGTGTGCAAGCGGACGGAACGGATCATTGTCTGCCTGGATTAGGATTTTCTAAAGAGTTATGCATTGTTACTTGCCAGAGGCAGGCTGAAAAGCGTCGTATTTGGAGTTTACGTAGCGTAGGTTTGATGTTTGTTGCCTGTCAGTCCTTTGCTTAGCGTAGGTTTCATGTTGCCTGTCAGTCCAGTCCTTTGCATACGCTCATTGTGCTTGTATTTGCAATTTATTTAAATGTCATGTGTGAGTTTTTTACTCGTTTTGGTTTTTACTACCTTAACCACCTGTTAATCAAGTGATAACTTTGCAGGGTGCTGTAACTGTGTCTAAGAAGGAACTTGACTTGTCGCCGCAGAGTGACAGTCATGATGTGTTAAAAGAACATGATGACGATGAAGAATCTGCGGATGACTGTAAACTAACATCTGAGTTCGGACTTCCTTTCAAGAAACGAAAACCTCGCCTGGATATAGTCAAAATGGGTAACAGTTTTCACCATTGTTTCAATTTTCCTTATCTCTATTTGTTCCTTATTGTAATTCATTTTGGTTTCCATCTCTTAGAACTGACGAAAGAAGACAACCCAGCATATGTTCAGTTGGGCGGAGACCATTATGAAGGATGTTTTTGCCATGATCTTCTTGAATGTGAAGGTTCCGTCAGTAAGTGTTGCATTAACTTACACCAACCAATAATTTGAGACTGAATCTAAAACTGTTCTTAAAACGAGCATAGCACTGGTCAATATTAATTCTGGTTGTTTTTCATTACAAAAGGTCTCGCAGGGAAGTTTAATTCTTGGTCCAGCAAGCAAGCTCAGATGTGGCTCTGGAAAACATTGAGAGAGCACAAATTTTCTGAAAGTGCTATTTGTAAGACATTGCTTAAAGTGAAAGAAGAAAATGGCTTTGACCTGTCTACATTCACTAAGGATTTGTGGAAGGAAAAACTGTCCGATTGTGATGAACCTGATTCCCCTGTAAGAATGTGGGAGTTTGTGTGGGAATGTGTCAGTAAGTAGATCTTCAGTGTATACAATTCCTGTCTTACATTTTGTATTGTTTCTTTTTATCTTTCACCGAGCAAGAAAGCAAATTTTAATGTGTCATTTTATTTATTTTTTAATTAGTGGAACGATCAAGAGACACATCATTGAGGCCCCACAATTACTCTGCCGAGCCACTGTCAAGAGACGTAGACATGCTTGGATGCAACATGTTCTCCCACTACACAACAGGAGGCAATATGTCAGCCCCTCTCGGAAACATTGGTCTTTCCAAAAAACTTAACAAGCCACCTAGGAGAAGAAGAGGTATATTTTTTGTTGTTGTTTGTGTTTATAAATTTTATTTTGACCGCCTTAAACTTGTGAATTGAAATCAATTTTGTAAGCTTTTATTCTATTTATACTTTAAAAAAAAAGACTTTCTGTTTAACAAATGTTTTTTGCTCTGCAGATAAATGTGTTGGCCAGCTCTGGGAATTTGTATATAATCTTCTTCAAAATAAGGATATGGAGCATGTTGTGCGTTGGGAAGATAAGGAGAAACAATTGTTCCGTATTGTTAACACAGAAGAAATCGCGCGTCTCTGGGGCAATCACAAAGGCAATGGGCATATGACGTATGCAAACATGAGCCGCACTATGCGGTAAGTATTTTTCTTTTATGCAGATGTGTAATTTTTGTTCCTAAGTGCAATCAGCATGAATTGTAATGTTTGCTTCTAGGTACTACCGAGAGGGAAATGGCGCCTTTGTACGGAATGAGCGCAAAAGGGTGTATGGGTTTGGACCAAAGGCAAATTTGAAAAGGCTTGAGGCAAAAGCGGGCAGAAAACTTGTGAAATAATTCAATTATGCCAATATTTATTGTTCATTTATTTTTCTGTTTCATTATCTCTTTACGATTATGTTGCTGCTGTTTCCATTTTAATGATGATGGTCATCTTTTGACTAAGAATCTTTGTTTTTCTCTTCTTTTTTTCCAGTTTGTACATTGTAGTAATGTTGGCTTGTGTGTGTGAATGAATGAGGTTTTTGAAAAAAACTGTGGCTGTGTAATTCCTTCCTTATCTCTTCTGTTGTGTTTTTATTTTTTAAAAGTGAGTTGTCTCTTCAAACAGAAAACCCATTATGTATTGTATGATTATTGTGTTATTGTAGGTGTTTGTTGTGAATTGTCTTTATCTTCAATTCTTCCTTGGTAAGTTACTTGTTTCAATATAAAAGTGAATTTATAATATTTTGCAGTGAAGGAGTCATTATTGCTCTGTTGTCTACCCACAAAGAATTTATTTTTTGGCTGTTATTAAGCTCCATTATCCAGCATTGTGAATCTTGGAAGTAGCAGAGGCACTACTGGCATATGTCCGATTAAAATCCAGACTCTAACTCATGTGCTCTAGTGTAACTCATAATTCAAAGCCATGTATGTAATGTCTCATTTTGTTAAGGTTAGATTAGGGGGTCTTGCTCTCCAATTCTATTATTTCTGTGATCTGTTGTTTATGTAACAAACCATCTTTTCGTTTTCAAAGTTATTTAATAAGGTGATTGCTCAATGTAACATCATGTCGCATTATTATCAATTATCAACTATAAACATTAAATTGAATAACTTTGGGTTTGATCTAATATAACTTAATATAATATATAAAATGGTTAAACAAACCAACGGCCCCAAAAATTTTAATTTTAATAAATCAGGAAACGTGTATGATATGAAGAAGCCTGGCGATGTGATGTGACAGGAGTCACTTTCACTCTGTTTAAATGTGGTCGTGTTGATGGTCTGACCACAGTATTTGATGGACCAACAATGGTAGTGTGGAAGCAATCATTTAAATTGTTAAAGACATACAAGTTATCTGCAGACTTCAATTTGAAGAACGGGGCTTAGCATGACTACATGCTGCTTGAAAAAAAAACAATTTTTCCCTCAGAATAAGATTTCCATTTTTTTTTTAAAGATTGTGTATAAAAATTGTTTCTGTTCTCAAACTATTTTGTTATTATTATTTGTTTTGACTGTGATTTTATGTTAAGTAAATGTATTACTTTAAGTAAAATTGCAGGTGTTTTTGTTTTTGATAAGTTACACGCAACCAATACACAAATCCTTATCATATACTACGCACGAAAGAACTGAGAGTACCACTGCCTGACATCTAGTTGTCAAGTTGTGAACAAATTTCAAACCTTCTCCATATTTGGCGCGCCAACATGTCAGACCGCACTCACTTGGCAGCAAACCCAGTGGGGGTATACCGTACCCTGCCCATCATAAGTTTACCAATCAATCAAAACAAAGTTCAATTCGCAATTTCTTTTCAAAATTCTCACTCTGACATCATGTGATAACATTGTGAGCGATTTGGAGAACATGGCACAATCCACACCCATCACTAAAAAATATCAAGGAAAATAAACTACATCAAATTATTTTCAATTCTTACCTCTGACCATGCTCTGACAGGTACACTAGCGGTCGGCCGGTAACTTTAAAAACTTTAAAAACCGCGCCCCACGTGGCACTCCGGCAACACGGCGCCGGCGCCCGATCCCAAGTCGCTCATGTGCTCTACCGTGCCCACATGCTGCAGGCGGTGTGTTCGAATCCTGGTCGGTTATTGTTTTTTTTGCCGCGAGTAGCGTAAGATCTGTCGCGAGTAGCGTAAGATCTGTCCCGAGTAGCTTGAGATCTGTCGCGAGTAGCGAAAGATCTTTCACGACCCCGTTAGGTTAGGTTAGTGTTGGTTGGCCCAGTTAGGTTGGCTTTGCTGGGACCAGCCTTTCCTGCCCTGAGTCAGACCCCGACGACAAATGTTGTTGTTTTTATCGCTATTGTTGTTTGGTTTGAGTTGCTAGGAAAGGAGGCATGTGAGCTGAAAGTTGTTTACAAATCAATTTATCCGGTCAACGGCAGGATTTCTTGAGTTTTCTACTGCATCATCATTTGTAGTACTATGGCTAAAGGTGATTGTGATTGGGTGTCCTATTTGTCATCAGCTCAAAGATCTGCATTGGTTGAAAATGGTACAGGCTACTTGCCTTTTGTCAAAAAATTACTGTGAAATTAGCTTTACTCATTGTTGCTTTATCGTGCTTCCCTGTGATAGTGTTAACTCCAACTCCAACTCTCAACTTTGCAGGTGTCAGAAAAATTCATTACAAGTTACCCGATGGCAAAGAAATGGTAGAAGAATACAACATATCGACAGATGTGATTCAACGAAGAATGTGGAAAGCATTTGACCCCTTTCGTGGTGAAAAATGGAATGTAGAACTAGGGGATCCACTCGCTCAACTTGATAATGTTGATTCAATTGGTATCAAAGAAAATTCAACAGCTGTAAGTCGATTTTCATTTATTATTACTTTTAGCTGGAGTATTGAAATTATTTGGAGACTATTTTGTCTGTTGTTGAATTTGCTTTCACAGCCTACCTTGACCAAAAGGATTACCAAGAAGTCTATAGAATGGAGAATACGTAATTTACCATATCCTCGGGATGTGTACTCTGTTGAAGCTGATGATGAAGGAATTACTGTGCGAACATCCAATAAGAAATATTTCAAGAAAATAAATGTGCCAGAATTAGAGAGAGCAGGACTGAAAACTGACAATTCTCTCCTTTCATTCACTCATCAGTTTAATACGTTGATTATTACTGTAAGTAATTTTGATTTACCTATTAGGCATGTATGTCATATCAGGATTGTCTGTATGTGGTTGTTCTTTTCTCTGATTACAGTATAAGAAGCCCACCAAAGTTACAGAGATGGAAACTAAAATACTGGAAATGGCAAAGTTAGTGTCACCAACTAAAGTTCCTGACTTGAAAGATGCACCAAGTGAGTGTAGACCCAGTTGAAACCCTCTCTTAAAAACATTCTATGCTGTGTTATTCCATTGATCTTGTCTCTCTGCTTATTTATGTGTATGCTGTGGCTCGATATCTATAAGAATTAAAGAAACATCAAAAAGAAAAAGAATGTAGGGTGTATATGGCCAAGACCAGAATGTGGTTTCATCACATGGCATAGGGCATTTAAATAATGAACCAATTGTAATGCGGGCATAAAATATAACTGACTTTTTTTTTATCACCATGGCTGTGGCTTAAAGATAGCAAACCCAGCAAATACAAATGTTTACATATTCAAAATAAGAGGCAGGAACAATGTGTAAACAAAGCTCAACAAAAACGAAGAAAACAATGCTGGAACAGTAATTCTTATTAATTGTGGAAAAAAAAAGAGGGGGATAACACATTTGGCAAACAGCTTTGGAAGATTCGACAAAAAGGTTTGCACCAACAAATCTCATAAACTCAATAATCCAATTTTCTCTTACACCAATAAGCAATTTAAGTGCTCTGCAGCAAATTCACCTGATTAAGTACAGATCTTAGCTGGTACAAAGAAATTAATACAATATGTCTCATAAATCAAGAACAACACATAGGAGACATGTGATTTTAAAGTGACAGAAAGAGATCAAAAATATTTAATTCAATCAAAATTTGTTTTGAATGAAAAGGAGTACTCACTTGTAACATGAAAAAGCATGTGAGACAAATGCATCAACAATGGGATCAAAATGACTGTTTGACCCTATCTTAAAATTAATGCTCTCAAATTCTCTACTTAAAGCAATCAAGCTTGCTTAGAGTAAAGCCTAGGTCTAGATTGCTATGACGATCACTTTTGAGAGCCATATGAAGGATTTCTCCACCTCTAGTTAAAGAACAAAAGTATGGAAACAAAGCTACATAATGAAACCAATATTGCACAGACAAAATGTTGTAAACCACACAGGGTCACTTACAGTAATTACAAAATCTGATAAGCTCAGGTAAGGGATTTCAGTAAAAGACATGTTTGTTGCTTTTGTTTAAAAAGAAAAGAATTACAGCAGGTGCTAAAGGAAGGAGACTACACCGTTAGTCATATCCGAAATGCCTCATCACGCCACCAAACAACACCAAAACAATCACATTTAACAGCAGGAACATGATTACGTGCGAGTAAAAACGTCATTATATATATATATATAAATAGCAAGAAATAAAAACAGATCACAATAATGAAACGAAAACAAGCAACTTACTATCATTTTAACATAAAACTGTTTCATCTAAAAGAAAAAGTCAATTTGGTAAGGAGAATAGGTACTTAGCATTACTTTATAAGACTACATCACATATTATATCAACCAACCAAAGGCTATTTTAATTTCACTATTTAATTTGAGTGTTTAATTAAGCCCATGATGGTGACTAAGTGTCTGATTTCATAATTTGTATATCCTATTTTGACACTTATACGCCTTTCTCCAATGGGTTCAACTGTTATCTCTGACAATTTATCACAATTTAAAGTTGTAGTAGAAACCTATCAACAACATCCACACATTGCACATCCATTTCCCAAAGGCTGCCATGAACCCTTTTTTTTTTTAAATAAAGAAGGGGGAGGTAGGAATGTGTTTTACACAGAAAAATACTAGAGACACGCACAGATGCCTAATATCAGTTCAACAGAGACCAAAATACATCTCAACAGTTAATAATGAGTATCACTTTCTAACTTTAAATACAAAAAACTTAGATTTGTTTTGTGCCATAAATACTGTATGGGAGAAAAAATTGCACAAGATATTGTATTAAATTTCCCCCATTAATACGAAGCTAAATTAAAATAGACAGCCCTAGCTTTGGGTGGTTTGCTGATGCTTGCAAAACGCTTGCACTTAGAGATGCTAGCGAATGCAATATCAAGGTTTCGGAGTGGCAGCCATCCCTGTTCCAGCCTTTCGTGGCAGAGATGCCGTAACTACAGGGGGCCTTCTAGTATTTGGCACTGAGTCTACAGCAGTTCCAGTCTTGCGGTGATGTCCTTTGACCAGAGGAATGCTTGATGGACTATCTCCAGTGAAGGCAAGTGAAAGTCCAAGCCTTTGGTGTCCTGGTGTGACACTCCTGCTGCTTCTAGAGGTCACAGTGGGAACCCTGGAGGCAGAAGGAGCTCTGTTTTCTACGGCAGGGCTTCCACCGATGCTGCTGGCACTAGCTGGAGTCCTACTTCGGCGGCCCCATGTATCAGTCAAACTGCAACAAAAAGACACGCATTCTTGCAACTTGGAAAAAACCTCAGGAATTGAAGGGCGGCGGTGGATTTGGAGCTACAGCAAACAACAAACTAATGGGTTTACTCACTCCATATGCCTATTAGCAGCAGCATGTAACATAGTCATAAAAAAAATTAGCTTAAGCTGTCTCAACAGTCTTTTATTTTAAAAGATGCTTAATTAAAACGTTAGGTTTTTTTTTTTTCAATTGAAAAATAAAATTTATTGTGAGTATAACCACCTAGCGTTCTAACATGAATAATAGACTTTTCTGGCTTAAAAGATATATCACAACTAAAAATTACCCATAGGAAAAAAAAATTAACTCTCAAATTGAATGTCACTAAGCCACTAGAGGAACTTCAGCAGGAAAATAAATTTCTATTCCAAACAAACGAGTGCATCCAAAAGTTGATAGCACTAAGCAAGAAAATACCCAAAATGTAATCCACACACTCTACCTTCCCAATCCGAAAGCTGCATGAAAATAGAAGACGTAAGGGTTAAATCCATCACTTTAAAACCAAACACACAAGAAGGGCTTTGCAGCCCACAACTTTCCATTCACGGATTTCTACACACCTGACAAGGGGTGTTCCATTTGAATCAGAAGGCAGCGATTGCAGTAAGGATGGCCCTGCAGACACAGGTCTCATCCTCTCAGTTTGGGTAGCAGCGTTGCACATGTCAGCAGGTTGACCATTTTCGGTGACATCATCGGATATCCTCTCATACTTCATCATCTGAACTTGCATCAACTGGATTGTACGATCCTTTTCCTCCATTTGCTGCTTCATTAATACCATCTGTAATTTTAAACGCAAGTCACTGTAGAAATTTGCTACCTACACTGCATCATTCGTTGATCAATTTTTAACAAAGGTATAATAGGTACCTGTCTCTTGAGATCAACAACCTCTTCATCTGGGTTCCGTACTCTGCCCTCACTGTCTTCACCTGAATCGTCTGCATGCACGAGTTGATGTAACAACCCATTCTAGAAAAAGAACAGAGCAATTAGCATTTCTTTCCAGGCTTTTGATATTTCAACCATGCAGTCAAACAAATAAATCCAAGTACCTTTAGAGAGCTTTCAAACGGATTTAAGGTCTCAGCCTCTTGAAGTACCCTCTTGAGCTTCAGCAGCATTGTTTTTATGTGAACCACATCCTGATACATGTGCTGATATGTGCCCCGATCCACTCTCATCATTGCGGATTCATCACTGTCTGAGCTTGCAAGCTGTAAGGAAATTTATACATGTGTAATATTTGTGTGTGTGGGGGGGGGGAATCAAATCATGAGAAAAATAATTTAAATTTTGTGGGGTGGACTTACCTGGCGGGGTGGCCTGAGGGGGCTGGGTGCCCCACTGGAGCCAAGGCTGTACCGGGGGCTGTCGGGGGCCGAGCTGGGCCCGCTGCTGTTGAGTCCGGCCTGGATGTTGGCCTGGGCCGTGGGCCGCGACCGCGTGTGCACGGAGGAGTGCCTGGCCAGCAACGAGGTGCTGCAACACAAAATTGTTCTCATTTTAATCTGTATAATTTTTTAAATTTTTTAATAATTTATAATAATTTTAGCGTTCAAAACAGGTTCCAGATCCTTTCTCTACGCCTCTTTCAATTTTGTGTTCCCCCATGACGAACCCACGCCTTGTCCAACCTTGTCCCCGATTGGCTGTCTCGTTCGTCCTCGCACCAGAAAAAAGGGGAGGGGCGGCAATGGGTCATGGGGGCCCCCCATTGGGGGGGCTGCTCCCCCATGGGGGCTTGGCCAATGGGCTTGGCCAATGGGCTTGGCCGTGCTGGCGGTGCCGGCCGCGCTGAGCTGGGTGCGCCGGGCCGCGTCAAACCAGGCAGGGGCTGATAGGGATTGACGGCCGGGCAGATGGTCGGGCGCACGGCTGGACAGGACATGGACAGACAGACGGCCGGACGGGACAGAAGCCGGGCAGGATTCACATTTGGCCGAACATGGAACACGGCACGGCCACTCGAGAAGCAGGGCCGGCGGGGCGATCCGCTACGCCGTGGCTACGCCGTGGCCAGAGACCGGTGAGGCGGCCAAAACTCTAGACGCGTTTGAGCTCCAGAGTCGCTAAAAGGACTCGAACCGAGCGTGGACCCACAATGGATTCCTCGTTCGGAAGCTATCCATTGGTGGGTCACACGTTCGGTCGAGCCCTGTTCAGCGACTCGGGAGCTCAACGCGTCTAGGTTGGCCGCCTCCACCGGCCTCTGGCCCTGTGCTACGCCGGCTGCAGAGTCGTTTTCGTCGCTCTGTCTCTCTCGCACTCACGGGGCGTTCCGCACGAGTGCGAGAGAGACAGAGCGACGAGAGCGGCTGCCGGTGGCCACGCGCCGTCCGCCTCACCAACAGGAGAGCCGTGGGTGCCGTGGCCGCGACCCGCGACTTTTCTTTCACGTTATTGGAACCGCGTCTGCAGCTGCCTGGCCCGCTCCGCTCGGCTCCACCTTGGTTTGCCTTGCCCGTCCGGCCCACTCGGCTTTCGGCCACGCCGCCACAAATTGTCCAATCCATCCTCGCCGAAATGGAAATGGCATCGACGAGGACACGTGGCGCGAAGCGCGTGGCGAATCGTGGGCGGCAATCTCTGGCAATGGCCGGCGCACAGTGGGCCGGCTAGATAACTAGATAGGCTGGCCGCTGCCGCCGCCCGCAACGCGCGGCCGTGACGCGGGGCGGCCTACCCCGCAGGCTGCAGGCCGCTGCAGGCGCTCCCACCGCACAGGGGGCCAGAAGACCGGTGGAGGCGGCCAAAACTCTAGACGCGTTTTGAGCTCCAGAGTCGCTAAACAGGACTCGAACCGAACGTGTGACCCCACCAATGGATTGCTCTCCGAACGAGGAACCCATTGGTGGGGTCACACGTTCGATTCGAGCCCCATTTAGCTCTGGAGCTCAAAACGCGTCTAGAGTTTTGGCCGCCTCCAGCGGCCTTCTGGCCCACTGTGCACCGGGCGTGTGCGTCAGCGCGCTCGCTCCATCCCGCTCCGTCCCTCTCGCACGCAAGGGGCGTCCCGCATCAGACTGATTCCGAGTGGGACGTCTCCCTCGCACTCATGCGGCGTCCCGTGTGAGTGCGACAGAGACAGAGCCACGCTCGCGGAATCAGTCTGCTGGATTACTGGGTCATCGGCACCCGAGTGAGTCTTAATGAGGCGCGGGACTGACGGGGCGCCGGACCGTCCCGGACGCACCGCGACGGCCGACCACGACGGCCAGGTTCCCGGTTCGTGGAAAGTGGAAAGAGGCGCGCGAGCCGACGGACGGTCCGCTGCAGCAGTGCGTCGCGGAGGAATTTCAAGGCCATCGGCTCAACCAGAGCGTAGCACGCGTACTTGGAGCACACGACGGGCTGCTCGGGGGTCCGAGCCGGCACGCCGCGGCACGCGCACCGCCAGGGCCGCCAGGGCCGCCGGTCCGTTAGAAAGCGAGCGATGCGAGCATTCAGGGATTCAGGGCGTGGAGGCGGATGAATCGCATTTGCAGATGCACATACGCTTCCGCGCTTCCGCCATGCAGTCATGCAGCGTGCATTAGAAACTCGAACGCCTCGAGCGCGCCAGTGCAATCTCTCGGAACGCGCTTGGGGCTCGGGGGCGGCGCCAGCGCCGTGGGGGGTGCTTGGCTGGTGCTGCACTAGCTTGGCAAGCACGCGTCCAACACGTGGAGTGGCGCAGCACAGTGGGCCAGAAGACCGGTTTAAGGTTTAAGGATGGACGTTCAACGAACGGCTCTGTCAAGCATGAGCCTCTCACTGTTACTTGGTGAGGTTGATGGGCAACACAGGGGTGGAGGCGGCCAAAACTCTTGACGCGTTTTGAGCTCCAGAGTCGCTAAATGGGACTCGAGCCGAACGTGTGACTCCACCAATGGATTCCTCGTTCGGAGAGCAATCCATTGGTGGGGTCACACGTTCGGTTTGAGTCCCTTTCAGCGACCCTGGAGCTCAAAACGCGTCCGGAGTTTTGGCCACCTCCACCGGTCTTCTGACCCACTGTGCGCAGGCTGTGCAAGCTGCGCAAGCCCTCGCCAGGGGTGGCGAAACGCCAAACACATTCTGGGTGCACGGCGTACTTGACAAGTGGGCCGGAACCACACAGTGGACTTGGCACAGTGTAAGCGCGCCTCGCGGAGTGAACTACATGAACCCCGAGCCTGGCCGGGCCTGGCCGGCCACACCACGAAATGTTTCCAGCGGTGCTCCGGAAAGACCCAGGCCGGCGTAGACACGCACGTCCCAGCTGCTGCGGCCGCTCCAGCCGCTCCGGCGATCGTCCCAGATTGCGGTTTTAGTTGACGTGAAGCTGCCAGGCCACGCCACGGAGAGAGTGGAAGCACCAAGCCGATGACAGCTGCCTGGCACCGCGCGGCGCCGCGTCCCGATACGAGTGCACCAAGTGCACGCTATTTGCCTACACTGTCGGCAGTTTGGCGCGGAAAGAGGCCAGGGAAATGGAACCGGTGACGCCCCGGTAAGGCTCAGTGCCACCCACACACCACACTCACACACCCAGGGCTGGACAAGCTGGCCAGGCTGACGGACGACGACGCCGACCCGTTGAGCAGCGTCGCCTTGGCTCGCGACGGCGAGCGGCTGACCCTCGGCGCCGGCAGCGGCAGGGTCCCGGGTTCGACGCCCGCCGCCGGCAGGCCCAGCGTCCCGCGGCCGGGCGCCAGGCCGTTGCCGTTGGGGACCGAGGCCGCCGGCGTGGCCGTCGTGGCCGGGGGCGCCGTGCCGCCCACCAAGGGCTCCTTCATGGCTGCATCACGATGCGAGGCGCGACGCAGGACCTGGCTATCCACAACCGCGGGGACAGCGTCACGACAACGGCGTCCTGGTTCGACCGCACAGGCCGCACAGCCGCGCACGAACGGAACAGGCTGCCCGACGGCCCCGACGGCGCTGCGGCGAGGTACTGACTCACGAAGGCAGCCCAGGCAGGCCAACAGATTCCGCACAACGACTGTGGAATGGTGGGTTCCCGAGTTCCCGAGCCGCGCCGAGCCGCACCGCGCCGCGCCAGAACGGGCACAGCCGTGGCACAGCCAGCCAGCGGGCACCAGCGGCACCAGCACCAGCGGCCCGACGCCGCGGTTGCCGGGAGTGGCGGCGCGTTGCGCGCGCGGCGTGGCGGGGCGTAGCTGGGCGACGCCGCCGACGTCGACGCCGACCCCTTGGAGCTTGCCCTGTCATAGGCCCAGCCCGGGCCGTGGCGTTGCGGTGGCGGCGGCGCTGTTGCTCTCGATACATATGACCACCACCGCCGCAGCCGCCGCCGCCGCCAGGCCGTGCCGAGCCGCGGCCGCGCACCGTCGCGCTGGAGGCCCTGGAACCGGCCGGCGGTGCGGCGGCTCCCGGGCTGCAGGGCTCCAGGCCTCCAGCCGCGCGGCGTGTGCAAGGCGTGCCTTCCGCCCAGCGCGCCCAGCCAGCGCCGTGGCGGCGTGCCGCGGCGTCCCGGCGTGCATTTCCCACTCCCACCCACGCTTGCCTCGGCTTGCCTCCATGTTCCGTTGGGCGCTGCGCGCGCTGCGCCTTGCGCGCCGCCTCGGTGGCAAATTGGTCTGGCTCGCCACCCCGGCCACTCACCTGCCGTCGCTCTCCCTGCTCGCCCCCGTGATGCTCTCGATGAGGGACGACAGCTCCAGCAGCACGTTGTCGCCGTCCAGCGCGTCGTCCTTCTCGCCCTTCTCGTCCGCCGCGACGTCGTCCTCGGTGCCGCAGCTCTGGCTCCGCGCCCTGTTGGCCAAGCAGTCCGTCTTGATGCTCTTGAGCTCCTCCAGATCGACCACGCTGAGGCTCTTGGCCTTGCGCGGCCGCGGCCAGAACAGGACGGGGGAGCCGCCCCACGACTTGGTGATGGAGCGGTACCTCTTGGTGCTGTGGGGCACGCGTCACCGTGTCACCGACTGCACCAGCCTCCCCCGCCACGGCCTCAGCCGCCTCAGCCGCCCCAGCGTGCGCCACGGCCTGCGCCTTACCTGTCGGCGGGGTCCTCCTCGAAGTCCATCATCAGGTCCTCCGAGTCGATCGAGTTGGTGGCGAGCGAGTCCATGGAGCCGCCGAAGCGCGCGGCCGACATCCTCAGCGTGTTGTCGCGGCTCAGCTGCCGGTCCTGGCGGTGCGAGAGGTCGGCGCCGGCCCCCGGGGCGTTGCTGCCCGTGCTGTCCAGCCCCCGGGACTGCTTCATGGCGCGCGAGATGCCGCTCGGCAGCGCTGCGTGGAAACAACCGTCGTCACGTCACAGCCCAGAGTCCTGGCCGGGGCGGCCCGTTCGCGGCGAGGAGCCCCTCCCGGGCGGGCCGCACGCCCCGCAAGGCGGCACGATGGGTTGCCTACCAGCGCCTGAGAGCGGCGCCGGCCAGCGCCGGCCGCACAGTGGGCCAGAAGACCGGTGGAGGCGGCCAAAACTCTAGACGCGTTTTGAGCCCCAGAGTCGGTAAACAGGACTCGAATCGGACGTGTGACCCCACCAATGGATTCCTCGTCCGGAGAGCAATCCAATGGTGGGGTCACACGCTCGGTTCGAGTCCCACTTAGCGACTCTGGAGCTCAAAACGCGTCTGGAGTTTTGAGCGATGCTGGACAACCCATCGTGACGGAAAGCACATACTCGCACTCGACTTTTTGAAACCTCAACCTGCCCAGCCCCAGGATGGTTGTGTGGTCTGAATGATGTGGCATGCTCTAACTGTTTCATTTTTGTCCCTAACACATCCTATCTTGAAAAACGGGAACGCCAGGATATCCGGGAGTGGTTTAAGAGGAGGTGATATTCAAGAAGTGATACCAAGCAGAAGTGTGCCTTTGATTAAGATCATATAAGCAAAGAGAAAACGTAAATACTCTTTGCTATAAAAGAGCAGAATAAGTTTTGATTTAATTAAATAAGCACAACTCTACTTAATATGTCATACAGGTATGCCATTGAAAAGAAAACGTATGCGTGATTTTTAACATAATTTAATCTTGTAAGTAGTATACAAGAACTAGTCAACAGGCACAGTACAGATGAACCAAGTGTTTATGAACAGAAGGCACAAGAGAAGAAAACAAACAACCTGAAATACAAATGACAACCACCAATAAGGCCACTAAATGTATCTAATTGCTAAAAAAAATTCCCAGCCTATCCAAACAGCCATAACAATCACTAAGGATTAAGCAAATCCCCCAATCTTAAAACTAATAACACATTCAATTAGTCGCTTCATCAAAAGATCAGATGAAAAACACCAACCACCACCAAAATATTCCTTCAAAATGAAAGATACACCAAAAAAATCTCCAATTGTTAAATATTTTACTCAACACCTACAGCACACTTAAATAGTATTGAATGAACAGACAATAAGTAAAGTGTACATGGAAAATTTTAATACCATAATGCACCACAAACAAATACTGCATTATGCATATTAAATAAAGTTAAATACAGGTGGAAGATTTAATGAGAGCTCTTTTGTGAGGAATGTAAAAAGCCTTGGAAGAATCGCCACCACAAAAATTCAAATGGTAATGGAAGAGTGAAAATGACTGTAGCGCTTTCTTCACCACTTTGTCCTTATTCATAAAATGGCACCTTCTATCACAAATCTCTGGGCTTTTCTCAACACCAGTTCAAATGCAAGCAAAAAACAACTATGAAAATGGAAGAGCTCACAAAGCACCTTGAATAAATTATGCTAAGATTGTTATATGGCCTACGTATGTTTGAACATTCTTCAAAACCTCTAGGATATTTTATGTGATTGATTATGCTGATAATGAAGAATGGTATGATATTTGTAACATCTAAAGTCGATAGAAAAGGGAGGGAATCGACAGTGTAGGGAATAGCCCCTGATGATAATTTTGAGGACGTTTTCTCTGTTGGGAAATTCGCATGCTCAGACCAACACCACCACACCACACCACCAACACCACGCTCAGAGCATCCCACATCATTTCGAACTCACACTGCCAAACCTGCGTCCGAACGCCTCCCTTTCCCTCCAACACCCAAAGGCTCCGCTACCCGCGCAGCGCAAGCGCAGCGCAAGCGCAGGCCGTCTAGCCTCGCAGGGCTGTGGCTGTACCTTGGTGGTGCGACGAGTCCCTGAGCGTCATGGAGGCGGCGCTCTCCGTGATGGAGGCCAGCTCGCTGTCGTCGCCGTGCCCGTCCAGCTTGTTGTGGATGGTGAGCTGCGGCTGGTCTCCGATCTCGTCGTCGATCAGGAAGTCCCGCCCGTCGGACAGCGAGAAGGAGTTGGAGGGCGTCCCCGACCCCTCGGGACTCACCGGGTGGCCCTGCGCGCGTCAAGTGGGGAAACCTTGGTTACGGAAACGCCTGAGCGACGGACTGCAGAGGCCGGCGTGCGTGCACTCACCTCCTTCTTCTCGTCGGCCTCCTTCGTGGCCTTGTCGGCCTCCTTGTTGGAGTCCTTGGGCTTGGCGTCCTGGCTGCGCCTGGACGCGTCCTTGCCCTCGCGCTTCTTGGTCCGCACCCTCCGCCGGGCCTGGCCCTCCTTGCCCTCGCTGTGCGCGCTGTGGGCGCTGTGCTTGGACGGCGAGTCGTCGCTCGTGGACGCGGGGCTGCTGCTGAACAGGCTGTCCTCCGGCGCGCTCTCGTCCTCGATGAGGCCGTGCTCGGCCGAGGCGGCCACCAGCTCGGCCAGGTTGCTGCTGTCGGCTTTGCAGGACGCCGCCGTCTTCAGCTCCTTCATCTCGCAGCTCAAGCTCACGTCCTCGTCTGCAACACAGGGCTCTCGTCATCCCCGTGCTCTGTCTCTCTCGCTCCCCTACGCACAGTGGGCCAGAAGACCGGTGGAGGCGGCCAAAACTCAAGACGCGTTTTGAGCTCCAGGAGTCGCGAAATAGGTGTAGAACCGAACGTGTGACCCCACCAATGGAAAGCTCTTTGAACGAGGAATCTATTGGTGGGGTCACACGTTCGGTTCGAGTCCCATTTAGCGACTCTGGAGCTCAAAACGCGTCTAGAATTTTGGCCGCCTCCACCAGTCTTCTGGCCCACTGTACTACGGCACGCTCCACGAGTGCGAGAGAGACAAGACCTTACCTATGACGACGGAGCCCACGACGTCCCGCCACTCGTTGTCCGCCATGGCCTCGCCCTGCCCCCAGTCCTCGTCCTGCTCCTCGCCGGGGCCGTAGTCCTTCATGTAGCGGCCGCCCATCGGCCTCTTCTCCGCCATCTGGCGGTCGATCAGCACCTTGGCCTCGGTGCGGTCGTCCAGGCCCTCGCCGTAGTCGCGGAACAGGCTGGAGTCGGTGTGGAACTCGTCCGAGGAGGCGCTCTTGATGGACCCTCTGACGGACAGCTGGCCGAGGAACAGGCAGAATCGGTCAGTCTACTGTGAAATAACGCTTGGCAGCCGGCAGCGCGCCGTGCGGGTAGGCAACCGACCAGCAACGGCAGGCACCTGTGCTTAACGGGACTGCCTACCCACCGGGCTGACCAGCGCGCCGTGCGGGTAGGCAGCCGGCAGGCACGCGCGCTCAACGGGACTGCCTACCCGGCAGGCTGACCGCCAAGGCAGAACAAACGTACCAGGTGCGGCGAGGCGCTCTGGCCGCCCAGCGAGGTGAGGCTCTTGAGCGAGGCCCTGGACACCATCTTGGCGATGGGGACGATCTCGGTGATGACGTTGGGGTCGTCGTCCTCGTCGCGCAGGCTGCGCAGGCTGCGCCGGGGCCGCTGGGCCGCGGCGGCGCGACGCAGGCGCTGGCCGGCCCGCGGGCTGACGTCCAGGACGTCCATGCCGTGCAGGGTGTCCGTGTCACCGGCCAACTGGCTGCCGAGCCCCGAGTCCTCGTTCATGGAGCTCTCCTTGGAGGAGCCGATCTCGTCGTCGAAGGTCGCGATCTGGAAATGAGTTCATTTATTGTCTACGTGTCTGAAGGTTTGCGTAGACGTCCGCGACGTGGCCTTCGTCCTTACCGGCGCCATTCTCCTGGTGCCGTAGTTGGCCACGGTCTTGGCGTCCTTGCCGGCGCGCCCGACGAACTGGGGCCGCGGCAGCTGCGACCCCGGCGCCCTGGCCGCCGCGGGGACGTGCTTGGCCACGGCCAGCGTCTTGGGCGGCGCGGGGCGCACACTGGGCCGCCCGGCGGCGACGGGTGGCGACGCTTCTGCAAACGCACCCACAATTAAGCGCAAAGTCATCTAGAAATTAAATTGCGTCAGTTTTTTGAAAAGGAGCGAAAAGGGCACTTACTTTTGGCGACATTGGCGGGGGAAGAGTTGGGGCGTGTTCCGGGCTTTGGCGTGGAGGTGGCCAGCACCCCCGACTGGAAGGAGTCCCCCACCTTGTTGGACAGCCCGCGGCCAGCGGCACCTGCAGCAAAGCGTCAGACACGTGCACTTCCCGGGTTCAAATACCATAAAAATATTTTTTTTTTTTTTTTTGTCTTTTTATTTCTTACCCGCACTGACGGGTGCTCTGAAGCCGAAGCGGTTCGTCTTGGGGGCGGCGGGGTTGGGCGCGCCGTCCTTGCTGGACGACCTGACCAGGCTGGGGCTGGCCTTGATGGCCGTCGTCACATTGTGCTGCTCTTTGAACAGCGCCTCCTGCAGCAGAGAGGCCGCCGTCAGCACCACACTGCCAAAACGCGTCTCGGGCGCGGCCTTTAGACCACTCACCTGGCTGTAGTTGCGCTGCTCCAGGTCCGCCTTCTCGTCGGGGCTCTTCTTGTTGCGTCGGAAGCCGAAGGAGTTGGCCGCGCCCCGCATGTAGGGCCCGGCGCGCTTCAGCCCTTTGGACTCACTCTGCAAGCAGACAGACAGGGACGCCGTGAGCATCCGTTCCAAGCGTCTCTCCGTCTCCGTCACACTCATACGGCGCGAGAGAGACAGAGCAGCAAAACCCTCGTGGTGGTCCCGCGTCGCTACCTGCAGGGGCCAGAGCCGGCGCTCCACCGCGGCGCGCAGCCGGCTGGCGGCGGCCCAGTGCAGGGCGGCCGTCCACCACCACGCACTGCAGGCCCACCAACACAGCACGGCCGCGCCGCGCGCAACCCGCATCGCGGACCGAAGCCGGGACCGCGTCTAGGCCTTCTAGGCCGTCCCCTAGGCCGCCCGCTTCCCCGTATGGCGGTGCCCGGTCTGCTGGCCTGCCAGCCCGCTCTGCTGTCGCTGCTGGGGCGCGGTGCGTGACTTCCCGCCAGAATGCACACTACACTGTCGGTCGGCTGCATCGGCGCGTTATCGGACCGCCGGGGCGGAGCGCAACTATTATTAGCGCGGCCCAGGCCAGGGTGGGCCGACAACGCGACCACGACGAGCCCCAAAAGTCGAAAACCAAAAGCCAAAAACAAAAACGCGCCCCGACGGCAAAGCAGGCAGGGCTAGCCAGGGCGAACGGGCCGGGCCGCGACGTCAGAGACGTCAGATATGCAAATCCACACACTGCCTTGCGGTGGAGGGGTGGGGGGAGGGGGCTTCATTTTTTCCCCCAGGCCGTGCCATGCAGGTGGCGGCGCCGCTGGCGTGCTTCGCGGCCTTCGCGACGCCGAGCGCGCTGCCTGTCTGACCTCTAGCAGTGTGGGCCCATGTTTGGACGGCCAATCCGGGCGCTGGAGGGCGAGTGCCTCGACGAGTGCCCAGCGCACAGCATGGCACAGCGCACACAACCCCTGCAAACAAACATGGCGGCCGCGCGAGGCCCCGCTGCCCCGCGACACGCTCGCCGTGGAGGATGACACACCAGCCGCCGCTCGCCGCCGCCAGCGAGGACGAGAACGAGAAGAGAGAGAAGCACACTCACCGAGGAGGACTGTCCCATGGCGAGACCGACGCCTGGCGTTGCGGGCGTCGCCACAGAGTGCATACTGCTGAAGGGTTGTCGTTCGAGTCCCGCGGCTTGCGCGGCCCCGCTACCACCGAGGCCCCCGTCGCGACTGGGACCGTGACGGCGGCGTGCATCGCGACGCGCGTGCCATGGGCTCGTCACACAGTCACACTCAGTCAGTCACACTGGTCACGTTTCGTCACTCGGTGCGATCGCCTGCAGCGTGACACGTCTGGAAGGCACTGCGCGACGAGACACTCTGAAGGGACACCCGAAAGCCCCCTGCGGACCTGCCGAACGCGAGGGGGTGGGCGCCTCGACAAACGCCACCCCGCTCCAGCGACCCCGCGCCCTCGCTCCAGGAACGCCCGCGTGGAACGCCTCGCGGAACGCCTCGGAACGCCCCAAAACGCTCGCGACGCGGCCGCGCCGTCGTCACAGGTTCCCTCGGAGGGGCAGTCGGCAGCTCGTCGACCCTCCGCGCGTCCAAGAAGGGCGTCGGCGAGGACGAAGGGGCGGGCAGGGCGCGCCAGCTACTGTACAAGGGGCGCCTCCGTCGGCGTCGCAGGGCTCCATGGCGCTGCAGCACGCCAAGGAGCGCCCCGCCGCGATCAATACAGGGGTGGAGCCCGAGCGGCGCCGAGCCGAAGCAGCCCGAGCGGGGCCGAGCGGCGCCGAGCGGCAAGGGCAAGGCAAGGGCTGCCCGCCCGACCCGAGTCCGGCCGAGGCGCCGAGGAGGACGCACGACGGACAACCCAGCCCAGCCAGCCAGCACCCTGCCACCTTTCCAGGCGCCTCCGGGAAGGGCAGAGCGGAAGGGCAGGGAAGGGCAGGGAAGGGCCGGGAAGGGCAGGGAAGGGCAGGGAAGGGCAGGGAAGGGCCGGGAAGGGCAGGGAAGGGCAGGGAAGGGCAGGGAAGGGCAGGGAAGGGCCGGGAAGGGCAGGGAAGCCGCAGGAAGGGAACGACGGGCGGCGCCATGGGCGGGGAAAGGGGAAGGGAAACCAATTTCGGGAGGAGGGCCAGGGCCACGCTCCGCCACTCTCACCGGTGTGAATGGCGGCGCCTTTCGAGCGTGATACGCGCAGTGCGCACAGGAAGTCCGGGAAGCCCCGCCCGGCCCGCCCATGCCCACCGTATCGCATGTCGGATTGGTAAACACGAGAGAGAGTGAGAGAGATAGAGAGTGCCACCGACCGGATCAGCGGCAGCGAATGTGGCTCTCTGCGATTTCTTGTCCTCCTTGTCGGCCCGGTGAAAGGGCCCCACTGCGTCACCCTGCGGCTGCCGGGCAAGGGCGGCAAGGGCGGCAAGGGCAAGGCCGTCTTGATGCCCAGGGTGCACGAAGGTCGAAGCCCCGTCACGCGGTGCAGTGGTTACCTCGCGATAGCCCCCCCCCCCTTTTCCCGCCCACTTACCCCTTACCCTGCACTCACTCACACTCCACCCCCACACCAAACTTAGCCCTTACACCGCAGTGACTGCATCAAACACATCCTGCCGTATCCTGTGCTTTAAGTTCCCCGCCATCACTCAACAGAATGCTGTTTTAGGCTGCTCCGCACTCTGCACTATATGTCACCTATCGCAACAAACCCTTCACTTTCCCAACTGCTGAAGTCAAGCCGCCTTGTCGTAAAAATTCAATTACATGTCGAGAGTGCATTTAATACTTGCCATGTTTGAATCGTCTGGAATGTTCATCCTGGATGCACCTTACACCTTTAGTCATTTTTCACGGGATGGTGACATCTGTGGAGAAAGAGAGGCATAAAATAAAATCCAATTCAGATAGATTTGTGAGCAGAAGATGAAGAATAAGTTCTCGTTGCAGCTTCTATCAATTTTTCTGTGACACTAAATAATAAGCAGACAGAAGAGGAGGCCTGAGGGAATCAAAACTACAGTTGTTCCATCACAACATCATCAAAACCTACACACCGTCACAGGGACTTCGGATTTGAATATTAAAACAGCAAACATGCAACCTGTCAGTGCAGTAGCAGACACCTCAAATGGATCCGGGACGAATAATCATCTTACATCGATCATGATGAGACAAACACAGAACACATGTGAACAGAGAACCACCTCGTGTCGCAGAATCGTCCGGCGACAGAGGACAACACCCACCTAGCAAAGGACAGACGAATTTTCGTCAGTTATCTCTGTCGACTGCAATGAAGGATGGGAGGAAAACTTACAAGTGCATTTGTCATACAGTAAACAGTCAGCTGAGGGTATGAGAAATTAACCTCTCACCACCGCCCTCTGACCTACACCAACATGAGAATGTTTTTGGTGCGCTCCACGAGCCGCGCGGCTGCGGCGACAGAGAGAGAAGACAGCGAAGTCCGCGAGTGCGAGAGAGACGGTGAGCGCGGCGCGGGAACAGCGAATGAGCGAATGTGCTGCTCCAACCGACAAAGACGCAAGACGTTTTTCGCGCCGAGGGAGCCTTGTGTTGTTCTGCTGGGCCGATTGTTTGGATTCTAATTTCTTCGTCGACTCATCCTGTCATGCTGCTTTTGGACGTCCCATCGCCTCTCTAGTCGGCCAGGCTGCTTCTCGCGGAGGTGAGCGACCCAACCGTGACAACGGGCAGAAATCCGAAGACACTATCTCTTTCTCTGTACTTTAGCCAAGACGTCGGTCTGCATGCTGCACTCTTGGAGCTCGACAGTTATCATTTTCATTCATTTTCGTTGCTTCCAGCTGTTTGCACCCTCGAGTCCCGCGGACTGTGAGCTTGTGTTTAGCTCTACTGTCTAGAGCAGAGTCCTGTTTCAGTTTGCAAGTTGCGCTCTGATTCTGCCAGGTCTGTAGTAATCCGAGCCTTGTTTGTTTCAACGGAAGGAATAGCCTTCAGTAACAATTCATTGATTTCTACAGGTCTACTCCAATGCAATGACCGTCAAAATTGAAGAGAGCAGTGTTAGTAAGGATGGGAAGGACAAGCCATCCAGCTCCAAACCATCCACCCCGAAAGCGGGCAAAAAGAAAGCTTTGGGCAAGCAACAAACGATTTCAAGCATGTTTATGAAAGCTGGGAGTTCTAGCAAATCTTCCTCACCAGATAAGCTTGTTGCAACTGCTGATCAACCGTCACCTTCAAATGAGACGCCTGTGAACAACAATAATTGTTCTAACATCAAAGAAGAGAAGGAGGATGATGTCAACGTCGAGCAGGAGGCGGAGGATACGCAACCTGATAATGCGCTGAAGCGGAAATGTCAAGTTGTTGCTGAAGACAATCCTCCCGAGAAACTAACAAATGGAACTGAAAAAAGGCTGCAACCAATTGAAAAAAAAATAAAAAGAGAGGAAGATGAAAAAGCAGTAGAGTAAGTTTTTGATTTTTTTGAGCAGTCCTCGTTCATATTAACTCTGATTCTATTCACTAAAAAAATATTTTCATCCTTTTTTAATTTTAGGGAAGATGTGAGCGTAACGCCTAGATCCGAAGTGTTGCAAAGGTGTGAGATATGCAGGCAGATCTTAGGAGGGCCAAATACTTGCATTTATTCTGGTCACCCTAATGAAGCTGTGGAAGAATTCATTGCCCTGACCAACCCCAAGCTGTCTCTCTTCAGCGGAGATGAGGAGAGTGTCGAGACAGATGAGCGACCCCAAAATAAGCTTACCGCCTTCAGGTAAGAAAAATTGAAAGTCAAACTAAAGCTTTTATTTTTACTCTTGAAGTATCTGGATTAAAATTGAATGGTTATTTTTTTTTTTCAGTGTATATGACAAGCAGGGTCATTTATGTCCTCTAGATTCTGGTCTGATAGAAGATAATGTTTTACTATTTGTTTCCGGATACATGAAACCAGTGTATGAAGAGAACCCAGATCCAGAAGGTATTGTTATGTGCAAAAATTGCCACTGTCTTCTTAATTTTCCAACTTTTGTGCATAATGACTTGGTGATTTTTTGCAGATGGTGTTGCAGCCATGGATATTGGCCCAATAAATGAATGGTGGGTGTCTGGTTTTGATGGTGGGGAGGCAGCACTCATCGGACTTTCAACAGCTTTTGGTGAATACTTTCTCATGGAACCCTCGGAAGAATATGCTGGCTTTATGGAGCCCATGAGAGAAAAAATATTCATGAGTAAAATTGTTATTGAATTTTTACTTGATGAAATTGAGCCTGTGTATGAGGACTTATTAAACAAGTTGCATGTAAGTTCATTTGAAAATTATTTTGCACGTGTCATGTCAAATTAAATTTAGACAATCTCTCACATTTTTATCCTGGTAACTCAAATTTGTAAATTTACAGACAACAGTTCCTCCTAAAGGTCTAACAATGCTCACAGAAGACAGTTTACTTCGTCACTCCCAGTTTATTTGTGATCAAGTGCAGAGCTTTGATGGTGCAGCTACAAATAGTGATATGCTCATCACCACCCCTTGCATGAGAACTCTTATGAAGTTATCTGGTGTTACTCTTGGCAAAAGGAGGGCTATGCGGAAAACAGAACGCAGAACAAAAGCAGACCGTAAGCCTGCTTGGACTAAGGCTACTACAACCGAGTTAGTGCGAAATGTGTTTGACACTTTCTTTGTTGATCAAATAGACAAAGAGGATGAGAAGGAGAAAGCGGTCAGTATATCCCAGTCCTAATGTATGACTAAAATTAAAATAAATTAGTGAGGTTCTGAAATTTGAATTGCAGGCACCACGCCGCCGGCGGTGCGGAGTGTGCGAGGTGTGTCAGATGGCTGATTGTGGAGAATGCACATCTTGTAGAGACATGGTGAAATTTGGAGGGTCTGGCCGCAGCAAACAGGCTTGTGCTCAAAGAAGGTGAGAGTAATGTCCGTGAACCTGCTTTGTGTTAGTGTACCCTCCTCATTAATGAGTTTCCCCCATTGCTGGCAGGTGTCCCAATTTAGCTGTACAGGAAGCCGATGATTCTGAAGCAGAGGAGGATGACGATGTTGAGAAACCTATCAAGGTCAGTGGCAAGGTTCGGAACTCTAAAATACCAACACCAGTCTATGAAGCTGAGTCTAATCAGCCCGCGGAAGTTCGTTGGATCGGAGACCCTATCTTTTCCAATGATGACTTTGAATATTTCAGGTACTTGTTGCTTAGTTTCTTGATCGCTGCATAGTAATTGAGTCACTGTCCGAATCGTTTTTTATTAAAATCATTTCTTTACCTTGTTTAGCCTTGTTAATGTCAATGGCATAGAATTTGGTCCAAAGGACTGTGTTTTAGTGAAGCCAAACGACCCGAAGGCTCCATTGTTTGTTGCCCGTGTTGTCAGCTTATACGAAGACAAAAAAGGCTCCAAAAAAGCTCATCTACAGTGGTTCATGTGAGTCTGTTACTGTTTGGGCTGTAGATAAGGTATGGTTTTGCTCTCACCTTCTAATCTGACTTTCCTTTTTTTTTGCTCTATTGCACAGTCGTGGTATTGACACTGTCCTTGGCGAGACTTCAGATCCAAGAGAAATTTTTGTAGTCAATGTTTGTGAAGACGTATCTTTTGGACTAATATCAAAAGTTGCAAATGTCCAGCACTTGCAAACCCCTGATAATTGGCACATGCTTGGAGGTGAAACTCTGCCAATTGATGATTTTCCTGATGATGGCACAAGCTTCTTCTACCAAAAGATGTATGATGCGGGCAGAGGTCGGTTTGAAGATTTAAAAGAAAAAATGGAGTGTCCCGATACTGAGGAGCCTTGTATATTCTGTGAATGCTGTGAAATTCAGAGACTGGCTGACTATAAGATGACCCCAACTGCTTTGGAACCATTGGAAGAAGAAAACTCAGCTCTAAATGAGGTATACATACTTACTTTCTTTCTTTATTTTACACACACAAAAAAAGGTGAGAGGAAGAGAATTACACATTTTCTTTGTTACTTTACAGGTGAAATGTGGAGTGGCCCATTTCAATGGTGAGGAATACAGGGTAGGCCATGGTGTGTACTTGAGATCTGATACCTTCAAGTTTGGTTCATCTCTGGTGAGAGTTAAGAAGGAGAAACGAGAAAAGGTAACTTAAGGGCTTTGGTTTTGTAGATGAGTTCTTTCCCTGCTCTACTATTTATATTGTAAGTGTTTTACCTCATGAATTTTTCTTTTTAGATAATTGATGAAGAAATGTATCCTGAATTCTACCGGAAATCATCTGACCATGTAAAGGGCTCCAATGAAGAGACCTGTGAACCGTATTGTATTGGCTATATTTCTTCAATCATGAAAAAGAAGTCTGGAGATGTAATTCTTGGTTTGAATAAAATGTATAGGCCGGAAAATACTCACCGTGGTCAATCATATGGTCAACAGCTTGATCTGAATCTGTTACTTTGGAGTGATGAAGGTGTATATCTCACATGTTTTCCTCTCTGTGTGAATACCTTTAGTGGGTGGTCTACCTTAATGATGTTAATTATTTGTTTTCAGAATTCAGCACTAATCTTTCTGAGGTGATAGGGAAATGCTTCATTGTTTGTAGCGATAATCTCGACGGTCCTGAAGCAGAATGGTCTTCCCAAGGACCAGATAGATACTATTTCAGAGAGGCATATGACTCTGCGAACCAAACATTTGTAGAACCGTCTGCCAAGGGTCTGTCCGCGGGGATGAGAGGCAAAGTAAGTTCGTAAGTGAAAGCAAAAATGACAAAGCGTATTCAGTCCATCTAATTGCCTGCGGTTTTTGGTTTTCAGGGCAAAGGGAAAGGCAAAGGCAAGGGAAAGTCTTCCAGCTCAGCCAAGTGGGACCTCAAGCCCTCGGAATGGCCTCAGATATCAAACCAACTACGCTGCCTGGATGTTTTTGCTGGCTGTGGTGGTGAGTATTATTGTGTGCTAGCCTGTTGTATTGCACTGCCCCATACTCACTCGGCGTTGCCGCTTTTCAGGGTTGTCAGAAGGTTTCCATCAGTCCGGACTTGCAAAGACACTGTGGGCCATTGAGAAGGATGACAGTGCTGCTAATGCTTTCCGCCTCAATAATCCTGAGACCACAGTTTTCTCAGATGATTGCAATGAACTTCTCAAGCTAGTGATGAAGGTATGTGCAGTACAGTGACAAATTCATCAGATGCTTCATTTTTGCACAGGATTTTGATTATCTCAGTTTTTTTCAGGGTGACAAAATAACTTCTAAAGGGCAGTCACTGCCTCAAAGAGGTGATATAGACCTCATGTGCGGTGGTCCTCCTTGCCAGGGCTTTAGTGGAATGAATCGTTTTAACTCAAGACAGTACTCTTTATTTAAAGTGAGTTTAAAGTGCTTTTCCCTGAGATTTCATGCACACATTTGATGACATTGATTTACCTCATAACTCTTCCTTGCAGAATTCTCTTGTGGCTTCCTATTTGTCCTACTGTGATTACTACAGACCCCGGTTTTTCATTCTTGAAAATGTGAGAAACTTTGTTTCTTTCAAACGCAGTATTGTGTTGAAGCTTACACTGCGCTGCCTCATTAAAATGGGGTACCAGTGTGCTTTTGGAGTTCTGCAAGCAGGGAACTATGGTGTTCCTCAGACCCGAAGAAGGTAGTTGCACCCCATGTTCATAGCTGTCTCTACACATTGAATTTAACTTAATTTTATCTAAACATTTTTGGTTTAAAAAATTTCAGAGCAATTATAATTGCTGCAGCTCCAGGTGAAGTGCTTCCTGAGTATCCGAGTGCTCTGCACACTTTTAACAAGCGTGCGTCTCAGCTTTCTATTGTGGTTGATGACAAAAAGGTAATTTTAAATGTTGTCTATCAAGGAATCTCTGAACTAAATATTAATATTGTGCATGCCTAATCTTCTTTCTGTCTTGGGCACACAGTTTAGCCCACTACGAGACATGCCTGAGGGTGCTCCACTGCGAACAATCACAGTGAGGGACGCCATGTCAGACCTTCCAGAAATTAGTAATGGTCATTCAAAGGATGAAATGGCTTATGGGGCGAGGCTCTGACCCACTTCCAAAGACAGGTAAAATATCAGCCTCATACCACCTCTCTTAGGTTTTGCTTGTTACTGTTTAGTTCTGCCATTAAAATTGCCAGTTTTTCAGATTCGAGGAAACCAATACATGCCTATTTTACGGGACCACGTCTGCAAGAAAATGGCACCTCTGGTGGAGGCCCGCATGGCTAACATTCCTACTGCGCCAGGCTCCGACTGGAGAGACCTTCCTAATATTGCAGTGCGTCTTAATGATGGGAAAATGACTGCAAAGTTGTAAGTGTTTGTTTTGCATTCTCACTTTGATGTAGGTTCTTCAATGGACGTTACCAAGTTTGATTCCATTTTGTCAGGTTGTACACCCACCATGACAAAAAAAATGGAGAGGCATTATCTGGATCTCTGAGGGGAGTCTGCTCTTGTGCTGAGGGCAAAGTGTGCGACCCCATGTGCCGTCAGTACAATACTCTGATCCCTTGGTGCCTGCCTCACACGGGCAATCGACACAACAATTGGGCCGGACTGTACGGTCGTTTGGAATGGGATGGTTTCTTCTCTACAACTGTTACTAATCCGGAACCAATGGGAAAACAGGTAAGTCTGAAATTAAAAGTCTTCATCTTCATATGCATGGTTATAAATGGCTCTCCTTAATGTGCCATTTTTCTGTAACAGGGCCGTGTGCTTCATCCAGAGCAGACACGTGTAGTGAGTGTAAGAGAATGTGCACGATCTCAAGGCTTCCCAGACACCTATCGTTTCTTTGGCAACATCCTTGATAGGCATCGGCAAATAGGAAATGCTGTACCTCCTCCTATGGGCCGGTACATTGGAATGGAAATAAGAAAGTGTGTGGCTCTCAAGGAAGAAAAAAATTCAAAAGATACATTGAATGACATGGAGTAGTGGGAGAGTTTGAATTTTTTAGTAATTGATTGAGTCATATGTACCTTGTAAGTCATTTGAGTACTGCCCTTATTGCAAAGTCCTCTCTGATCTCATTCAGTATTTTAACATTCCATTAGGTATTTATAAACTCTTGGGTAACTGTTAACTCATAAAGGGTTTCAATTTTCTTTATAAAATGCCATAATTTTTTAATTTTTTAAAAGAATAATTGTTTTGTGGTGACTGGTTCATGTTTCCTTCACAGGTGATTTTTTTTTTTAATTTGTAAATCATGCCCACCTAATTAATAAAGAGCAAACTAGTAAGTTGAATATTTTATTGAATCCTCTCTCTCAATACACAGAAATAAAAGATTTACAACATAACAGGTTTTTCTCTTAACCTTGATGTTTAAGAACCTACTTCATTGTATAGGAAGTATGGTCATGGCACAATGATTATCACAGCTCTATCGCAACTGGTGCATGAATCTATGTACATGCATCAGAGCACTAAATGAGCAAATCAATTAGTCGGTTAATTCATAATATGGCTAATGGCCACACCAATTTCAGGTGCATTTGTATTTGTAAGAAACACCAGGAAACAAAATAAAGCAAGATTAGTCACTTACATTAAATATAACAGTAAACTGACAAATTTAGTCAGTAAAATTGATCACACAATTTCATCCTGGGGTGTATTACAAAATACTATCAGGAACTATATCCACAAGCATACATTACAAGAAGTCTGGGAAATCAGTACTTCATATATATTGCATCCTGCATAAATTCATGGGCAATTATTGGGGGGGAAAAAGCCATAGTATAAAGTACTGTACTAGACAGATTGCTACACTAGGTGATTGTACAGTCCATATCTCCTTCACGCGGCAAACAGTCCAATAGGGACGCAACAGCTCTTGTGACATAGCTCATTGTGCCGTAGCTTCCCGATGGCGCAGAGTCATAGAAGTGCTGGCAAATGTAGGCTGCTCCGCCGCAGAGAAGGCCCCCAGAGCAGGACATGTCTCGCTGTTCACGTGGTTTGGCACAGCAAAGTGTGGCGTCCCCATTCACTTTCATCTATAAAAACAAAAAGGAAAAAGAAATTGAGTGACAATGGTACCTACCAAAGACACAGCACAGCGAACAAGATGAGGCAGTACCTGATCTTCAAGGAAAATCTGATTTGCTTTGTGGACAAGATGCTCTACAGCAATCACACCACCAAGGGTATTAGCAACGTTGTACTCTGACACCAATGTCAAAACCATTAAGGCTTCAACGATGAGCTGGCGATACTCTGGTTGGGGTATTGAGTTCAGGACAGTTTCAACAGCCAGGGCAAACTTCAGCTCACCGGAAGTCATCTAATGACAAAACCAAATTGTAAGAACACTCCCCCGACAAACAGAAAACTTTTTTGAGATGAAAAAAGACAGCAACTTACTTCCTGGGTGAGATTTTGTGGAAGAACTCTCCCCTCAATGGCAAGGCCCTGACACTGCAATACAAAATTTTTGAACAATTAAGTAACACTAAAGGCCACTGTTATTCATTTGTTCAGATAATTTTATTTAATTGACATACCCGTTCTAGCACATGCCAAACTCTCCGATAGAAATCTGTGGGCACTCGGTTCAGCGCTCCATCGAGCCGCCGGCGACGAAGCCATTGCCCCTGACGGTCGGAGCCGACTTCCTCTTCAGTATCTCCCTCTGGGACGGCGAGAAGGCCACCTATTTGGCTCCTCTAAACACGTTTTGAAAAATAATTTGATTAACTGGGAGAATTCCGTGTAGAAAAATTATTGTTCCTGAGGTAATGCTTACCTTGCTCACACGACTGGACTTGCAGCTGATGACAGAAAAATTGCCCCTTCCAACTAGAAATAAGAGCATCACACAGTGCAATACTTTTGCAAGAAATAAATTACAAATGTATGAAAACACAAGACTCACCACTGCTGAGAGCAAACTCTTTTCCACTCATAATGTGGTGTAGAAGGTTCTTCATCTCAAAGGGAGACAGATTAAGGAGATGCTCAGAGGCTTCCTCACCGGTACAGATCAAAGAACGAGAAAGTTCCGTGGCCATGACCTACATTTGGAGCAATAGATTGCCAAACTTAAATAGATAATACACACATTTAAGTTGCTCAAGTATAAAGATAAAAAATACTCAACCTGAATGATGAGACCTGCTCTAAGACGTAGCATCTCATTAAAGAGTTGGGGTTCGGTTCTAATAAACATTGCAAGATAAACCAGCAATTCCTGAGTAAGCATAGCTGTACTTTCATCATCTCCATAAGCTTGGTGGATCAGCTGCCTCAATTCATTTTCAGGTAAAGGTGCAGTGATGGTATGTTCATTTGATGGAGGCATGCCAACTGTGACCTGCTTTTGCCTAACTAATATATCAGTCACTGCTTTGGCCAGATCCTCTACTCGCTTTCCAAGCATACCAGCTGTGTGGCGCACAAGACCCCAAAGTTTCTGCTGTGATGCCTTCACGTACAGTATCTTCAGGAGATCCTTGACGGTCACTTCTTTTCCATCTTCCACAATGCCTAGCCGGTTGGAAAAAAAAAGGAGAAAATATTTAAAGATAAAAGCTAACTACAGTACAAAGTTGATTTGAAAATGCCAGTGCCATCTACCTGTGTTGAAATTCAGCCCTTGTGTATCCACCAGGTACTGCAAAATATCACCCTGCTCTTCAAGATGCTCCGATTCTCGTAACATGGTAAGAAGCTCCTCGACTTCTGTGTCAGCATACTGCGTTTCTGACTGCAGCCTACGAACAATGACCTCACTGGTATGCCATTGCGGCGGGGACAATGGAAGGGAAGAGTGAAACGGTGAAATAGAAGAGAGATAGGAAAGAAAAAGAAGTAAAGCGAAATATATGAAGAGAGGTGTAGCATACAGAGGGAGTCCCCAAACCTGTGTCGAGATGGTGTTTGCTTCCAGAGAGGCACCAGATCCTCTGGAGAAGGACTGCGATTCTTCCCATCATTGCTGCTCTCTGAGGGCCGCCTTTCCTCTCCAGCCACAGGCACTCCCAAAGAATCAGCTGGCGGAAAAAAAAGACCAGAAACAGGGTGAGAAGTTGGTGCAAACTGAAAGAGCAGAAAATCTCACAGATGATGTACCTTCTACTAAAATAATTGATCGAGTCTTCTTAATGGCTCCTTTAACTGACATTCTTCTTCGTAAATTTTTCTTTTTGTCATGAGCAGGTTTTGTTAAAAGTTGGCTTTTAGTGGCAAGAGATTTCATCATGTGGTCTTCCAGATATTTCTCCACTTGTGGATTCAGTCCTATAATTAGTGATATTAGAACACAGCTGTTTAGGTTAGGAAAACAAACAGAACTTCCTTCAGAACACATTACTTACGGTCTGGAAGCCCATCTTCTTGGCTGCCCAGGAAACTGAGATTTGTTATGCATGATGTACTTAGAAATTCATTTAAATTTCCTAATGTCACTCTGTCAAAAGTAGAAATTCTCTGTAAATTTTAATTGAAATGGGGGAAACGACTGAGGTGGATTTTGATGATAAAATATGCATACCTTGTTCCATTAATGTATCCACTTTTTAGTTTCTTCATTGTGGTAACCATAGCAAGTGGAATCTTGCCATTATCTGCAAGCAGCATAAGGATGTAATGTGAAATGGGGAAGAGAAATCACACAAAATAAATTCATTGTGATACAGTATTTAGCCAAAAACGTCTTCTAGAAAGCCCATGCTCATGAAAAATCAGCCATAAAATTTGATACATATTCTCAGGTGAGAAGATAGCAGTAAAATGTTGTTCTAATGTTAATACACTTGAGCTTGATAGCAGAAAGCAATACAAACAATATACTCAAACCAATAGATAGGGAAAGAAAGTGTTACGATTGTTTAGCAAATCAGAGCTAAAAATTAATCATGAATGATACAACAACTAAAAATTGTTTGCTCCATCAACCTTTAAAAAAGATGGGTTTACCTAGATGGCTGTGAGTAGAGACGATGACATAAGTAGGACGGCCCAAAGTGTTCCGCCAATTCATGGCCAAAAATGCAAAATCTGTTGTGAAGTTGCTGGCTAAGAAATCTATGTCGCTTACAGTATAAACTTCCTCAAGATCTGTTTTCTAGAAATATGGTACAAGCAGAACAAATTCATGCAATGTTAGTCAAGATGAAAACAAAAAACAAAAAACAAAACTTCTTTCAAGAAAATCATAACAAAGGAGGTGTTCATCTGAGGTACAAAAACACATACAACACAACAACTTTTGGGGACATTGGGAACATTTGTTAATGTGATTTTTCAAGTTCTGTAAGCAAAAGCAGAACAGGTTCAGCTTTGAATGCAAGCAGGAGAGCCATGCAATCAGTGGCTATTTATTTCATGCCCATTTGATACATTGGAAAATTTTCTTGTAAAATTGTAACAAATACATTATTGGGCATGAAATACAGAATCTTCTCTATTTTAGTCAGGGCTCATTCCAGTGTCTTGTGTTGTCCTGTACCTAAATGCATGCTTTTGATGCCAATGACGACCAGGGGACGACCCAACATATTCTGCCAGCTTGACTTCAGGAAATAAATTTCACTCTTGAGAATATCGATCATGAGCTCATTATCAGACACAATGTAGAACCGTGTCAGATCTGTCAGCTAAGGCACAGTACACACATCAATTAAATTTACCAAGAATAAAGGTGAAGACAAATGTGGTCACCAGAACCTCCATGTTGTCTCAAACAATGCAAACAGTCTTTGAAATGAAAACAAAGGTTAAATGAGAAAAAAAATGTCTTTGAGAGGTGATTGTAACTGTAAATTAATTACTTATTATAAACAAGTCATTTAAAAAAAAATAGTTTTTCTTACCTGAGGTGTGAAGGCAAAAATGCGATCATGCAAAGAGTAGAGCTTGCTTGTACTCAATATGCCAACATCTCGGGATTTGCGACCAGACAATCCCAGTTTCTTGTTTCGACCAAGATAAGTGTAGAGGTGTGACAACACACGAGCGGACTGAACCTCAATGGGGGCCACCTCAGCAATTGTCTGAACAATTATATCATGCTGCTTCAGTTTTTCACGAATTTCATTGTCTTCTGCCAGGATAACAACCTGAACAACGACATCTGGTTTCTTTTCGGAGCAAAGTCGTCGATTCAAAGGATCCAGTTCTCCAACAGCCAAAAAGCCCTAATAAACAGAAACAAGCAAGGAAATACTTTCTTCATTTAGCTAATTTATTTGGAAAAGTTGAGTAGAGAGTCTTATACTTAGCACTTACATCTTGAAGCAGTTTACCTAATAAATAGAGGGATTGAGCCCATAGGAATGGGCAGTGCCCAAGAGCTACTCTTTCCTGACTGCCAGGAAACTTGTATTCTTCGGCAACTTTGCTCGCAGGAACTGCAAACAGCTCAGGGACCAGCTTTATTCCAGACTCCCCCTTGATTATCACCTGGAAAATTTTTAGACCCAGAAGATAACAAGGAGCTCACTAGGCAAGGTATGAGACATTTCAAAATTACAAAAACTCACTGATTCTAAAGCCTCAGTGTATTTTGAGGCAGCCTCTTGATTGCCAAGGAAGAAGGCATCCAGTATAAGGTAACAGAAAAATAATGGCCATTCACATTCAATGTTTTCAAACATGCGTAGTTCCCATGGCTCATAATACAATCTATTTGGATCCTGGTGAGGGAAAATGGCATGAGTCAGGTAGATGAACGAATGTTTCAAGTTAAAGTGAAACCAATCTGAAAGTTTTACATACTTCCTTTGGAGTGCGATGTCCATCTCGCAGAAATCTTTTGCACCCATACCTGCCCTCAAGTTTGGAAACAATTGTTTGTCTAGTCTGGTTAATAAGTTGTGGATCATCTACAGCAAAAGCAGGAAAGCTTATAACTGACAGAAGTCCACTATCAATTTCTTTGGAGCTGGACTCTCGTGGTAGCATAGACTAAAAACAAACCATAAAATCAATTGTAGAAAAAAATCCAAAAAAAGCCTTAAGGATACGAATTTGTAGAGCAGATGTTAGTCACCTGCAAAACAGCTTGGCATTTTTGAGCTTCATCGGCAAGTACATGGATTATAGAAGAGGGCCCTCCACGAGCGCCGAACAAATCGAGCTCATTCATTGCCTCTAGTGCTGCCTTTGCCATTCCTATTGAGCTGGCATTGAGTTCTGGTAAGCCATGGTTGGCTTTGTCACCACGTTCCCATATGCCATAATCCTGAAACCAGCAAACAGCTTCAGCAATTCTGTATGGATGAGGCATCAAGAAGAAGAGGAGATTACTTACGGGTATGCAGTAGGCAGACTCAATGTAAAAGACTAGGTTCTGGATGAAAGAAACTTCATCTAAACTAAAGATAATCTGTAGGCCTATCAAAATTCAAACAATGAATTACGTAAATAAGGGTATATGTAATTATGTAAGAAGAAAATGGGAGCAGATTTACCAGAGGCAGTCATTTGTGCAAGTACCAGGAGGTACAACGACACAGCATCCATCTGCAGGTGCCCCCACTCAGAATCACCGACGACTGACTGACCAGTTGTTGAGGAATATTTAGCATGAAGGGCATCCAATGGATTCTGAGAAATTTTGAAAAGCTCTACTTTATCCTTCTGCTGCATCATGGCCATCAGCAAACCCCGCATCAATTTCACACAACTCTGAAAATTGGGAACAAAATATCGTTCTTGTTAGTATGAACAGCTTGCAATGAGACAGAACGTTGCACTATGGTTGCCCTGCACTGACCTGCTCCAATTCATATGTCTTGGCTCTGTCTTCATCCATATCAGCCATCTTCTTGTATGCCATAGAAAGGCCCCAGACAGACAGCACGCAGTAAACATTGTCTCGAATCCAAGCGTGGTCGTTTTCTGGGCTCGCTGGGAATAAACCAGTGACTGGATTCTGTTAATGTGAAATGTGATGAGGTCAATTAAAAACCCACAATCTAGGGATGTTTGGATCCAAGCAGCCCACAGTTCAGGCTTTACTTCACCTGATGGCACATAAGAAGTTTGTGGACTATTCTCTGGTAGTAGTCCAGGCGAGCGCCTGAATTGCTTCGGCTCCTCATCATTGAGCCGGGTGTACACTCTTTGGGGCAAAAAAATTACTGTCGTCACGGTTGGGGTCTCTTTCACAGAGACATGACTTCTGTCGGATGAAAAGAAATTATGAAGGACGAAAGGAGGAGGTTAGATTTGTCTCCCTTCAGTGTGACAACAGTTACAAACGGAAAGGTGGCAACCCTATAGGGCACTCGCGAAGCGCGACCTACCCGGTGTCTAGGTAGTGCAGGTATCAAGCATGTCGAAGTGACGGGTGTACATTTGGGGGAAATAAAATTTGTCGCAGAATTGGGGATCTTTTTCACAAACGTGATTTCTGTCGGGGGTTTGGGCGAGGTTGGGGTTGAGTCTTTAGTTGAGGGACTTTCCGGAGATGGCAGCACCATAGGGCGGGGGGCGAAGGGAACCCGGTTCTAGTATCAGGCGCATGTCGAAGTGAAGAAATGTTTATTTGGAAATGAAACTTGTACAGCAGAAATCCTGCAGATAGCACTTCACAACGTCCTCTGCTCCTGTTCCCTTTTCGGAGTACTTTAGTTGAGGATGTGGAATGGGCACCATGGACGGGGGGGAATGGGAAACAGTTTGTTCCCCCCTCGGGCGCGGTTCTGTTCATCGAGCCTCAGACTGTACTGTGTTCGTGTCATTTCCATTCTTTCCAAGGCACGTGTGTTGTTACTGCATTGCAAAAAAAAAACAACCTTACGAAAAAAAACTCTACTTATTTTCTTTTAATACACTTCGCTATTTTTAAATTTTCGTAGCGCTCTTTTGTGCCGGGGGGGGGGGGGAGAGGAATACAAACACACATTTTTTTCTTAGAAAATTTATTAATCTAATATATTTTTTAATTTTTTTTATAGAGAGACAATTCTTTTATTTTTACATAACCGGCATTGTGCAGTGGATTCAGGAGGCGACTCTTGCCGTAGGAATCCGGCAGTGCCAGCGACCTTCCACTGTAAACATGCAGCGTGCTCGCCGCGGTGGCGCTACTGCTCGGTGGCGTGGGTGACGGCGGTCAGGGCCTCGGACTGCAGCAGCCGGTCGCCGTTGTCCTTGAGCAGGGCGTGGCCGCGGGGCCCGTCCAGGTCGTGGACGAGGTCGTGGACGAGGCCGTGCACCAGGCTGTCGTCCAGCGCGCCGTGGTCCGAGGCCGGCGGCTGCGTGGCCGTGTTGATGGAGTGGAAGTGGACGCGCGTCCGCGAGCTGCCGCGCCGTGAGCCGAGGCCGCGGGGGCCGCGCACGTTGAACAGGTACCTGCAGTCAAGGTAAAACATGAAAGCCGCCGCGCACTGTCGACCCTACAAACTCAAGTGTGTACATAGTACACTCCACCTGGAGTGTACATGCTTGTACACTTCAACCTGGAGTGTACTTAGCATGTACACTTCACCCTGGAGTGTACTTGGCATGTACACTCCAGGTTGGCGTGTACTTGCTAAGTACATGCCAGGTGGCTCATACCTGCAGCAGGGAGCCAGCAACAGTGTACCTGAAGGTACACGCCAACCTGGAGTGTACATGCCAAGTACACTCCAGGTTGAAGTGTACATGCTAAGTACACTCCAGGTTGAAGTGTACATGCATGTTTACTCCAGGTGGAGTGTACTATGTACACACTTGAGTTTGTAGAGTACTCGACAGGAAGCTCGCTGAGTGTGACGCTACCTGTTGAAGTATTTGCGGAACTGGCCCGACACGAAGTACAGCGCCACCGGGTTGACGCACGAGTTGAGGAAGCTGAGCACGAAGCCCACGATGCGCAGCGCGTGCCACCAGCCGTTGTACTCCTCGCGCGCGTTGGGGTACAAGAAGAACCAGAGCGTGACGCCGTGGTACGGCGCGAAGCAGATCACGAAGATGACCTGCAGGGCAAGGGGGGAGTGAGCACCAGAGGGATGTGTGCGTGCGAGAGAGAGATAGAGAGAGTAGAGAGAGAGAGAGAGAGAGAGAGAGAGAGAGAGAGAGAGAGAGAGAGAGAGAGAGAGAGAGAGAGAGAGACAGCAGACAGACTCTTACCACGAAGGACAGCACGGTCTTGGCCACCTTCTTGCGGGCGCGGATCTGCGCCGCCGTGTTCTGGCCCGCCATGGCCGTGGCGTTGAGGTTGGTCACGCTGAGGAACAGGTGGAAGGCGATGCACACGTAGAAGGCCGAGATGACGACGAGCGGCAGCAGGTACAGCACCAGGAAGCGCGCCACCACCATCACCTTGGGGTAGGTCCGGCCCATGCTGGTGGGGAAGCAGGTGCACACCTGCAGCGGGGCAGACAAACTCGGGCAACTCAAACAGGAGGTACAGCACCGGGACAGCCACTGCCGCCGTCTCTGTCGCACTCGCGGGCCGTCCCGTAAGGCCGCAGGGGTGCGAGAGAGACGGAGCGACTCTTCGGAGTCGCTGGCGGCAAGGCAGGGCAAGGCAGGGCAAGGCAGGGCAAGGCAGGGCAAGGCAGGGCAAGGCAGGGCAAGGCAGGGCACGGCAGGGCAAGGCAGGGCACGGCAGGGCAAGGCAGGGCACGGCAGGGCAAGGCAGGGCAAGGCAGGGCACGGCAGGGCAAGGCAGGGCAAGGCAGGGCACGGCAGGCAGCAGGCAGGCAGGGCAAGGCAGGGCAAGGCAGGGCAAGGCAGGGCAAGGCAGGGCAAGGCAGGGCAACGGCAAAGGGAGGGCAACGGCAGGGCAGGCAGGGCAAGGCAGGGCAAGGCAGGGCAAGGCAGGGCAAGGCAGGGCAAGGCAGGGCACAGGCAGGGCAAGGCAGGGCAAGGCAGGGCAAGGCAGGGCAAGGCAGGGCAAGGCAGGGCAAGGCAGGGCAAGGCAGGGCAAGGCAGGGCAAGGCAGGGCAAGGCAGGGCAAGGCAGGGCAAGGCAGGGCAAGGCAGGGCAAGGCAGGGCAAGGCAGGGCAGCAGGGCAAGGCAGGGCAAGGCAGCAGGGCAAGGCAGGGCAAGGCAGGGCAAGGCAGGGCAAGGCAGGGCAAGGCAGGGCAGGCAGGGCAAGGCAGGGCAAGGCAGGGCAAGGCAGGGCAAGGCAGGGCAAGGCAGGGCAAGGCAGGACAAGGCAGGGCAAGGCAGGGCTAAGGCAGGGCAAGGCAGGGCTAGGCAGGGCAGGCCCGACGTGCGGGCCTTATCCACACCCCTATTTACCCTTTCCGCCTGCCTGCCTGCCTGTCGGCCGGTCCGTCAGGCTGGTTTCTTTTTCGCCCCGCGTCCGGCACGCGGTTGCCCAGGCAACGCGAGACAGGGCGACGCGGACAGCGGCAGGGCGGCAGGCAAGGCAGGCACTGCCGGCCTGCCCGCCCTGCCGGCAAGGCCCGGCCGGCCCGGCCCGACCCTGCGGCCCTATCCCACCCCTATTCCCTTTTCCCCCTGCCTGCCCTGCCCTGCCTCGGCCTGGCTTCCCTTTCGCCCCGCCCGGCACCGGTTGCCCAGGCCCCGCGCGACGGCCGCCAGCGGACCGGCAATAGGCTCGGCACGCCCGCCGTGCACTCGTCCCCTCGCGCCCTCGCCCTCGCCCTCGTCCTCGCCCTCGCCCTCGCCCTCGTCCTCGCCCTCGCCCTCGCCCTCGCCCTCGCCCTCGTCCTCGCCCTCGCCCTCGCCCTCGCCCTCGCCCTCGCCCTCGCCCTCGCCCTCGCCCTCGCCCTCGCCCTCGCCCTCGCCCTCGCCCTCGCCCTCGCCTCGCCCTCGCCCTCGCCCTCGCCCTCGCCCTCGCCCTCGCCCTCGCCCTCGTACTCGCCCTCGCCCTCGTCCTCGCCCTCGCCCTCGTACTCGCCCTCGCCCTCGTCGCGGTGCGCTGGCGGTGCTGGTTCATTGAAGCGCGCCCGAATGTTTCATGGAATGGAAGCCACTCTTCCCGGGCATGCCACGTGCCTGGGGCTAGGGGGCTGGGGGCTGGGGCCTGGCCGGGTGCAGAGCGCCGTGAGTGCCGTGCATGTCACTTGGACGGCGACCACACAGTGTAGCAGCGTCTGCACTGCAGCCACGTCGCCGCCGCTTACTTTTGCAGTGTGGACGCCAACGCCAGCCGGCCGGGGCAGTCGGCCAGCAGACTGCGTCCGAGGGTCGTTTTGGCCGCGATGTCTCTCTCGCACCTACACGGGACGTCCCGTGAGTGCGAGAGAGCCAGAGCGACGAAAATGACTCTCGGAATCAGTCTGCCGGGCACGGCCAGCGGGGAAATGTCACCAACGGACACCGTGGGAGGGAAGGGGGAGGCTGCCCGGTTGGCCGCGGACGGGCGGAAGGGTCCGGACGTGTTGTTGTGACGCGGGTCGCGGGGGCGGCAGAGATCTGCAGTTCAATTTACCGCCCCCTGGGGGGCCTTCCTTACTGCCTGACTGCGGAGGGGGAAATCCCCTCACAGGTGTGCGCTTGCTGCCCTTTTCCCGGACCACGCTTCCCTGTCATCGTCCTGCAGTGGGCCAGAAGACGCGTTTTGAGCTCCAGAGTCGCTAAAAAGGACTCGAACCCAACGTGTGACCCCACCAATGGATTCCTCGTTCGGAGAGCAATCCATTGGTGGGATCACACGTTCTGTTCGAGTCCCATTTAGCGACTCTGGAGCTCAAAACGCGTCCGGGATTTGGACCTGCGCACTGCGCTTCGCCGCTTCGCATTGCCCTTGCGCGACGCACCTGGATAATGTGGCCGTCGTCCAGCTCCAGGTCCTGCACCTCGGCGATGACGGCGTCCGGGACGGCGAAGGCGATGGCGGCGATCCAGATGGCGGCCGCCATGATGCACGTGTGGCGGCGCGCCGTGCTGGAGCTGTGGCGGCGCAGCGGGCTGACGATGGCCACGTAGCGGTCGCCGCTCAGCGCCGTCAGCGTGAACACGGACACGCCGATGCTCACGTCCTTGGCCACCTCGGACACCTGTCCGTCGGCGTGGGTTTTAGAATCCAGTTGAGGTTAGGTTAGGTTCGGAGAGGTTAGGTTCGGAGAGGTTAGGTTCGGAGAGGTTAGGGTCGGAGAGGTTAGGTTAGGTAAGGTTAGGTAAGGTTAGGTTATGTTAGGTTGGGTTCGGTTATGTTAGGTTAGGTTAGGTTGGGATAGGTTAGGAATATTTCGAACCTTTGGACCGCTGTCCGCTGCGAGAAGTCTCCCTACCTTGCACACGGCGGTGCCGTAGGGCCACGAGTCCACGGTGTACAGCGTGGACGTGAAGGGCACACTGGTGAGGATGACGAGGAGGTCCCCCAGGGCCAGGCTGCGGAGCGGCCGAGCGGACCGGGCGAACAATTCATGGCGGGGAGAGAACAGAATAGTGTAGCAGTAGTGCGGGCGGAAAAATACATAGCAGAAGGGGAAGACCTGCCGGTTGGGACAATGTTAGCTGGACAAACTATGGCTAGCGCGTGCGGGCGGCCCGTTTTGGCGGCAACTCTACCGCCTCCGCGCGGCGCGAACGGACAACCCCAGGCGTGAATCTAGCGGGGGAAGGGGGAACACCCCAAATTAGATACTAGAGGGGATGTCTGCCGTTTTCGTCGCTCTGTCTCTCTCGCACTCATGGGGCGTCCCTTGTGGGTGCGAGAGAGACGGGTGCCTACCTGAAGATGTAGATGTTGGGCACGGTGCGGATGCCGCGGTGGCGGATGAAGACGAAAACGAGGGTGCCGTTGCCCACGGTGCCCAGCACGAAGATGAGGATGAAGACGACGGGCACCAGGTAGGTCTCGACGCGCTCCTCGTACGGCACGTACATCCTGCAAGAAGCGGCACGAGCGGCGCAAGCAGGACAGGCGGCTTAGGGGTGGATCCAGAGCCACGGCCCGGCCCACTGTGTGGCCTGGGCCTGACGGGGACCTCGGCGTGCATGGGTACCGGACCCCGACCGGGCTGGAGAAAGGGACGTTTGAGCCGTTTAGCCGCTTAGCGACCGCGGGACAGAAGGCTCATTCGGAACAACAGTGCCGACGTCGCTGCGTCTCTCTCGCGCTCGCGCGTGGCGTTCCGTGAGGGTGCGAGAGAGACGGAGCGCCGCTCGGAGACAGCCTGCAGGCAAACAGGGTTCGAGAGCCGAGAGAGCGGCCGGTGTGCGTGCCCACCGTGCTCGCCGAGCTCGTCGTCGTCCTCGTGGCCCAGGCCGCGCCGAGGCCGTGCCGAGGCACAGTGGGCCAGAAGACCGGTGGAGGCGGCCAAAACTCTGGACGCGTTTTGAGCTCCAGAGTCGCTGAATGGGACTCGAACCGAACATGTGCCCCACCAATGGATTCCTCGTTCGGAGAGCAATCCATTGGTGGGGTCACACGCTCGGTTCGAGTTCCATTCAGCGACTCTGCAGCTCAAAACGCGTCTAGAGTTTTGGCCGCCCACCGGTCTGCTGGCCCACTGTGCGAGACCACGGGGCTTTGGTATCAATTTACGCGGCCTCGGCAACGGATGGCGCTCCCAGCGCGCCGTGAGACGTCACTCCGTCTCTCTCGCACCTACACGGCACGCCCCGCGGGCGCGAGAGAGACAGGGCGACGGCAGGTGACTGTATATGAAAAATCGCCGCGGCACAAGGAGGCGCCGTAGCGTCTCTCTCGTAGCCGCCTTCATCACCGAGGACGAATCTCGAGTCATTTCCGCTCCGCCATTTACGAAAGTGCATTCGTCCGGCATTCGACGGGGAATTGAATAAAGAGAAGCGCGACGCTGTCTCGGATCCGTCCCAAATAAAAAAGAGAAACAATGACGAAAATTACATGAGAAACGGTGGAGCTGTTAAATATGAAGCGAGGGGAAAAACAACTGGCGGGAAAAGGCGCGAAAATTGGGACAGCCCGCGACGCCCGCGACGCGACGTGCGCCTGCAGACCGATTCCGAGGAGAGCTTCCCGTCGCTCTGTCTCTCTCGCACACGTGGAGCGTCCCGCAGGGGTGCGAGAGAGACAGAGCGACGAGGCAGCGAGGGAATTCCCTTCGAATTATGCATGAAGTCAAATCAATGTGATCTCGGGGAGAAGCGCCAGATGCATTGTGGGCCTCGGCAGGCCACAGTGGGCCACAAGACCGGTGGAGGCGGCCAAAACTCCAGACGCGTGTTGAGCTCCAGAGTCGCTCAATGGGACTCGAACCGAACGAGTGACCCCACCAATGGATTGCTCTTCGAACGAGGAATCCAGTGGTGGGGTCACACGCTCGGTTCGAGCCCTGTTTAGCGACTCTGGAGCTCAAACGCGTCTAGAGTTTTGGCCGCCTCCATCGGTCTTGTGGCCCACTGTGCAGGCCCGGGCGAGCCAGCAGGCCGATTCCGAGATCGTTTCCGTCGCTCTGTCTCTGTCGCACTCACGGGCCGTCCCGAGCGGGCGCGAGAGAGACGGCGCGACGGAAACGAGCCTCGGAACCGGCCTGCCGGCAAGCGGGGGCGGTAATGCCATTCATTCAGACGAGAGGCATTCCTATGAAGAGCGGCAAAGGGGAAAAAAAGGGGTGGGGGAGGCGGAATACGCACCCTTCGCCCTCCTTGCCGATCCTGGTGAGATTGGACAGCAGCGTCGCATTGGCGTAGTCCACTGGAATCAGATGGAGAGGAGTCAACACAGCGCGACGAGGCATGTATGGGATTGTACATTGTAGGTCTACGGGGCACGCGGGCTTTCATTCCGTCCCCCTTTCGTCCTTTTTCCGAGAAGGAACCGAGAAACAATATGCCCCGCGCGGTGCCTGCGTCCCCACACTGTAAAAAATTCCGTACTTTTGTATGGAAATGGTACAGAAAAATATAGTTAGGAGGTACGGAGAAAAGTACGGAACGTTCCGTACTTGCTCCATATGAACCCATGTAAATGGGTACGGAAGAAAAGTACGGAACGTTCCGTAGTTGGCAAGTACGGACGGTCCAGTAAATTATTGACCAGACATGTTCCGTACTTTTTCCGTACCTTTTCCTCACAGTGCAGCCGTCCCCAGCCGTCCCCAGCAGGGACGCACCGAGGACGCCCCGCACTCGCCTCACTGAGAAACACCGAGCAACGGATGGTATGAGTTCCCGGTAAACCGAGCCGAGCCCCTGGAGTCCCAAAGAGATGAAAAATTGAGTGCCGCTCTACATTTTGTTCCATATTTCCTTGCTCCGCTCGCCGAGTCTAGCGCGCGCGGCAAATGAAATTCTCGAAAGCGCATTCTGCGCCGGTTTCTGAAAGTTTTGTTTACCGCGTGACCACAGAGTCTATCACAGTAGAGCGCCGAGTTGGGGGCGTGGCGTGGCGTGCGGGCGGGGCGGGGCGGGGGCGGGCGGGCGGTGGCGGGGTGGGGGCGGGGCGGGGCGGGGCGTTCCCCGTGGTCTCCGTGTTCTCCGGGCGGGCCGAGCGACGGCCACCACGACGCCAAACCCAAACGCGACGAGCGCCTCCGAGAGGCGGCGCCCCGGGAGACCGCTGCCGAAGGAACATTTCGTCTCTGTCGCACGCATGGGAGAGCCCCGCGTCCCGCAGGGGTGCGAGAGAGACAGAGCGGCGAATCGGGTCTTCGGAATGGCTCGGCTGTGTACCGAGAGGCCGCGAGGTGAGTGTGTGCCTAGTGTTAGCGGGCTCTTACGGGCCGCGCTGAGGGTCGGCAGGGCCAGGGCTTGGACGCGGGCCCGGGGGGGCCAGGGCTGGGCGGCGAGGCCAGGGCGAGGCCAGGGCTGGCGGCGAGGCCAGGGCCTAGGGCGGCGAGGCCAGGGTGGCGAGGCCAGGGCTTAGGGCGGCGAGGCCAGGGCGTAGGGCGGCGAGGCCAGGGTGGCGAGGCCAGGGCGTAGGGGCGGGCCAGGAGGGGCCAGGGGCGAGGCCAGGGCCTAGGGCGGCGAGGCCAGGGCCTAGGGCGGCGAGGCCAGGGCAGCGAGGCCAGGGCCTAGGGCGGCGAGGCCAGGGCAGCGAGGCCAGGGTGGCGAGGCGGGCCAGGGCGGCGAGGCCAGGGCCTAGGGCGGCGAGGCCAGGGTGGCGAGGCCAGGGCGTAGGGCGGCGAGGCCAGGGCGTAGGGCGGCGAGGCCAGGGTGGCGAGGCCAGGGCGTAGGGCGGCGAGGCCAGGGCAGCGAGGCCAGGGCTGGCGAGGCCAGGGCGTAGGGCGGGCGAGGCCAGGGCGTAGGGCGGCGAGGCCAGGGTGGCGAGGCCAGGGCGTAGGGCGGCGAGGCCAGGGCAGCGAGGCCAGGGTGGCGAGGCCAGGGCCTAGGGCGGCGAGGCCAGGGCAGCGAGGGGCCAGGGCGGCGAGGCCAGGGCGCAGGCCAGGGCCAGGGCGCGAGGCCAGGGCAGGGGGGCCAGGGCGGCGAGGCCAGGCAGGGCGGCGAGGCCAGGGCAGCGAGGCCAGGGCTAGGGCGGCGAGGCCAGGGCAGCGAGGCCAGGGTGGCGAGGCCAGGGCCTAGGGCGGCGAGGCCAGGGCAGCGAGGCCAGGGCCTAGGCGGCGAGGCCAGGGCTTGGGCGGCGAGGCCAGGGCAGGGCAGGCGAGGCCAGGGCCTAGGGCGGCGAGGCCAGGGCAGCGAGGCCAGGGCTGGGCGGCGAGGCCAGGGCAGCGAGGCCAGGGGGCGAGGCCAGGGCCGGTCGAGGCCAGGGCTTGGGCGGCGAGGCCAGGGCTTAGGGCGGCGAGGCCAGGGCTTGGGCGGCGAGGCCAGGGCGGCGAGGCCAGGGCGTAGGGCCGCCGGGGACGGCAGGGCGATCACGCTTGGCATGGAGGAGCGGGCAGCGCGGACGCCCCGCAGACCGATTCCGAGATTCTCTCTCCCCCTCTCTCTCGCTCTCGCGGGGCCTCCGGGGCGTCGCGCGTGCGTGCGAGAGAGACAGAGAGCCCTCTCTGGAGGCAGCCTCCTGGCGGAGGGCCAGCCGGGCCGCATCCCTCGCGTCCCTCGTCCGAGCCGAAAGCGTCTACGGTGTCAATTTGTCACGGCAAACTTGGACCCCAATCCTACATGAATTATCCCCCCCTCCTCCACCGATTTCACTCCGGCCGGAATATTCCCCCCTTTTCATTTTTTTAAATGCTGTTTCGCAGCCGCCTTGCGTCCGAGTCGCGTGCCAGACGGAATCCGGCCCCCTCTTCGGCCGCGCGATGAGGGGAAAGTTTTTGCGGAGTTTAAGTCTGATAAATAAATCGGGTGTTAATGCCATCTTTGTTGAAGAAGAGCGCCAGCGGGAGGGGGGAGACGGAGAGGAGGGCGGAACGACGCCGTCCAGAGAGGGGAGGGGGCCGGCTAACTCCATGGCTCAGAAATGTCACTTTAACTCGTTTGCAAAAATTAGGACTCTCACCCAGATGGCCTTGGCTCGGCTCGGCGGCAGTCTGAAATGTCTAAACGGGTGGCGAAGTGCGCGGGGCGCGGGGCGCGACCCAGACGCGAGAGAGGCGAGCCTTGGTCCTTGCGGGGCTTGCCGTTGCCGCACCGGTGCGCGCTAAGGAGCTAAGGAACCGGAGAGATGTTGTGCCGAGGTAGAAATCAAACTGCCCCGCGCTGCTGCTGCTGCTGGTGCTGGTGCTGGTTCTTGGAAGAGCGCGGAAACAGATTTATCGCGGGAAACTTTTCGGAGCGCTGCAAAACCGCCTTCTTGTAGTACCGCTTTTGTAGTTCGCTTTCGCCCATTGTCCGCACTTCTCCGCCATTCCTGCTCCACCGTGTCCTGCATAAAGAGTACTTTGATGGAAAGGCCGAGCTTCCTGTCACATTCCGGAGGCCACTCCGTCTCTCTCGCACTCCCCGCGGCGTAGCGCGCAGGTGCGAGAGAGACAGAGCGACGAAAGCAATTCCCGGATCCGGTCCGCAGCTGCCCCGCCGCGCCGCACAGTGGGCCAGAAGACCGGTGGAGCGGCCAAAATTCTAGACGCGTTTTGAGCTCCAGAGTCGCTAAATGGGACTCGAACCGACCGTGTGACCCCATCAATGGATTCCTCGTTCGGAGAGCAATCCGTTGGTGGGGTCACACGTTCGGTTCGAGTCCTTTTCAGCGACTCTGGAGCTCAAAACGCGTCTCGAATTTTGGCCGCTCCACCGGTCTTCTGGCCCACTGTGCGCCGCGCGCCGACGTTGTTTGCGATTCGTCCGCACATGTTAATGACGGGGCAGCGGGAATTTCGGGGAATTTCGGGGAATTTACCGCATTGTTCCGCAGCGCGTTCTCGTTGTAGTGCGCCAACAAATCGGTCTCGGGGCGGGGCGGGGCGGGGCGTGGCGGAGTGGGGCGGGGCGACGCGGCGAGGCGACAGAATGCTGCTGAGCCAGAACGCCTGCGGAACCGAGGATAGGCAGACCCGCACCACGCGTGTGAGCGGCGGGCTAGTCTACCCGGCAGTTCACAGGCGCGCGGCGCGCGCGGCACCAACGCAGAGTTCCACACTTCTTTCTGTTTTCTTTTTCGTTGGTGTTTTTTTTTTTTCAGAGCGTTTATTGTATTAATGGTGGTCGTTTTTTTCGCATGGCGTTGCTGTGCTGCGCTCTGCGCGCCTGTGTTGGAGCCCGTGAACTGCGAACCGCCAGTCATCCTTGTTAGCCGCACACTAAATTCTTATGGACTTTTTAAATGCATAATGACGCATAATTTATGCATAGTTCCGCATGCGCAGAAACGTCCATAAGGTATGAATAAAATTATGCATCATTGTGTACATTTTATGCACCTTCCTGCATAAAATGTACACAGTGATGCATAATTTTATACATAACATATGGACGTATCTGTGCATGCATAACTATGCATAAAAAAGTCCACAAGAATTTAGTGTGCGCAGTGTCGCCAAATAAGTTCTCGCGATGCGCTGTTTTTGGAGAGGGTTGCCAACCTCAGCCTGCTCGTAGGACGTCCTCTCGATGGAGAATCCCCGATATTGGCCCGTTCAGTGCAGGCGGGGTGAGGGGTCGGCAACCTTCCGCGACACTGGTTCTTCGAGGGAATATTTGCCTACTTATGTGGCAACTCTGCTCATCTCATTAGAGTTGCGGGGGCGGGGCACTCCGCGGCGCGCTGGCCGCGCCGGGCCGCGATTGGCTGATTAGATGAAGCCGCGATCCTCATCAAGTTGCCTAACTGTTTGGCGAGGCCCGCGCCGAGGCTCCCCGTCTCCCTCCCCAACCCCCGTTTCTTGACAAACAGTTGTTCTCCTCTTTTATTATTTAATTATTTTAATTTCTATCTCACTCCATCGCCCGGCCGGAAACACGCGTCACAATTTTTAAATTCTCCTCGTCCATTTTATTAAACTTTTCGCTGGTGGGGGAACGGGAACGGAGTTGGATGCGCGCTCGCTCCGCTCCGCCAGAGCCGCGTGGCATTTCGCTCTTTTCCCCTTTCTGCCCCCCCCCCTCTCTCTCTCTCTCTCTCTCTCTCTCTTGCCACACCGTGTCATCGATAATTGTCCCAGCCGGACCCAGGCAGATTGATATTAGCAAAGTTCAGGGCGGGGCGTCGTCGGCGCGGCGGCTCAGGCTCAGCGCAGCTCAGCGCCGACACCCCGGCCGAGGCCCGATGCACGCTAATTCGTCGCTCCGTCTCTCTCGCTCTCCCGGGGCGTCCCGCAGAGGTGCGAGAGGGACAGAGCGACGAAAAGGACGCCGGGAGCCAGCACACTGGTCGGGCTGGGATGCCGTCTGCGTTGACATTCCACAGGCATGCCTCTCTCTCTCTCTCTCTCTTCTCTCTCTCTCTCTCTCTCTCTCTCTCTTCTCATACACACAACAACACAATCCGCATCTCTCTCTCTCACTCTCACACTCACTCACTCCTCTCTCTTACTCTCTCTTCATCTCTCTCTCTCTCACTCTCTCTATCACTAACTCATCACTCTCACTCTCTCACTCACTCCTCTCACTACTCACTCTCTCTCTCTCTCTCTCTCTCTCTCTCTCTCTCACTCCTCACTCCTCTCTCCTCACTCTCTCTCTCTTCTCTCTCTCTCTCTCTCTCTCTCTCTCTCTCTCTCTCTCGCTCTGTCCGTGCAGATTTGCCGCTTCCCCTCTCCTTTCATCCGGGCCGGTTCCTTGGTTCCTTGTTCCCGCCGTCGGATTGTTCCTCAACTTTAATAAGGGCGTGCGAGGTGCGATGGATGGGCACAACGCGTTATCGCTCTGAAAGGCCTGAAAGGCCCTGGAAGCCCTGGAAGGCCCTGGAAGGCCCTGGAAGCCCTGAAAGGGAAAGAAAGGCCGGAAACGAAGCGGGAAAAAAGAGGGGCGAGTCCTCCCGACACGTCGTAGTGTGTTGTCCTTGTTCCTTCCTCCGCTTCTGTTTGAATGGAATCATTTTCTCGTCAAATGTTTGCGCGGGCCTCTCGTGTCTGTCTGCGCCGACGGTTGCCGGTCATTTGCGTAGCGGCGCTGCGTCGCGGCGACCGTCGGAACTATCTCCCGTGCCAATAGAAAGCGCTCTGCAAAAAATAAAAATAAAGATGGTTTTTTTTTGCGCGGTTTTTTTTATGGGTCGTTGCCTCGTCGTAAGACCCCGCCCCACCGCACTGCGACCGCGTGCCGTGCTGCCGCACTGCCGCACCCGTGGCTTCATTGACAAAGGGGACTTGATAGGGTTCCGAGGTCTCTCATACCGCCAGACTGCCGCCCCGCCCCGCCCCGCACCGGATTCTCCGTGCGATTCACCCCGGCGTGCCGGGCGTGCCGATGCCGCGCCGTGCCCTGGTGGAGATAAAGAGGACGAACAAGAAGAGTCCCTCTCCGAGAACCTCTCCGAGAACCTCTCCGAGAACCTCTCCGAGTCCTTCTCCGAGTCCCTGGCCGAGGCCACGTCCTTCCGAGGGTCCGGGTCCGCCGGGTGCTGTCCCGCGGCATGGGCCTGGATTTGGGACAGGACCCCAGGACTCCAGGACTCCAGGACCCCAGGACTCCAGGACCCCAGGACTCCAGGACTCCAGGACCCCAGGACTCCAGGAGCGCCGGGCTGCAGGACTGCCCGAGCGCCCTTGGCTTTACGTCATTACACTGTGAAGCCCGCGCACTTGGCGCTCCGCGGCTGCAGGCTCGCTCTCCAGGACGTCCTGCAGAACGCGCCGCTGGACGCGCCACCCGTCGCGGCTATAACTCAGCGTGGCCGAGCGCGCAGAGGCGACGGTCGGCGGCCCCAGGGACCCGGGTTCGATTCCCCCCGTTTCGCTCTAAATTTTTGAGTAGGCCATCGGTTCCGTGTCACCTAGCGCCCCCGGCCCACGCGTGTCGAGAGGCTTGAGCGACGGAGAGGGCTCCACGGACTCATCCGAGGAGTGCAGAGTGACCTGGGGGTTGGAATTCACGTCGCAAACTACGCTGTCACACGTGGCGGCGTGGGGTAGAAAATCAATTTTTTTCAGGCCGACACTGCGAAGCACTGCGTACGATGGAATTGATTTATTGTTGAAAGTTTTTTGTGTGTGTGTGAGTATTCAATGTACAATGGGGCGTGCCATAGATCAGCGCCTGGGTCCGCAACGGGTGTGTCGCCGGGCCGTCATACAGTCGACGCACTACGCTCGCAGAGGGATGAAAGCAGAGCCAGCCTACGCGCGCGCCCCGCCCCGCCCGAGGGTAGAGGGCCGCGGTACGGAATTATTGGGACATGAAACCAAGAAAATAAATTCGTGACTGGGCCTTGACAGGTAGCGTACATCGCACGCACACGCGCGCACACAGACACACTCGCAGGCATCCAAAAAAAGAGAGAAAAGTTTGTTTGAAAAAAAAAGTTGTTGGCGACCGGGCGTGTTGGCCGTCTGGAGCGGACAGGCGTCACGGCTCTTCCGCTATGCGGCGACATGTCGAAGCGAAAAATGGATAAGTCGAAATAAAACGGATGGGGCCACCCCGCGGCCCCGCGGCCCCGCGACTCGGGGGGCGAGGCGGCGGTGGAGGCGGCGGAGCGCAACGCGCAGTTTCGGACGAGTTGGCGCGGAGAGAGCCGTAGTGTGACGACGCCGGGGGCGGCGGGGCGGCGGGGGGTACCACCACTCGAGGACCAAAGTTTTTTAATTTGAACTGTGCACAGCGCCGCGACCCCAGAAGCAAATCGCGCCACGGCCTCACCCGAGGGACTCATCTCAGTGCTACTCGAACGGGCATCAAGTGAGTCCGCGCCGCGGGGGGTCTTGAAGGCGGCGGCGGGGATCATCACTTTTTTTTGCAGTGCGGCATGCGGGGCCGTGCCCACACTGCCAAGTCTGGCGGGGAAGCGTGAGCGCGGGGTGTCGGCCGGTGAAGGCGTTGCCCGGGCGGGCCAGCCCAGCGGGCAGCGGCCTGGCCGAGGGCTTGGCCGATACTCACAGTGGAGGGTCCCGTTGTTGGTGCTCGTCATGCTGGAGGCACCATTCCCATTCCCGCGCCTGCCAACAGCCACACAGCAAGTCAGTCAGAGTCGATTTAACCAGCACAAGCCAGCACAGTGGGCCAGAAGATCGCTGGAGGCGGCCAAAGCTCTAGAAGACGCGTCTGGAGCTCTTGGACTTGAAACGAGCGTGTGACCCCACCAATGGATTCCTCGTTTGAAGAGCAATCCATTGGTGGGGTCATTGGTTCGGTTCGAGTCTTATTTAGCGACGATGGAGCTCAAAACGCGACTGGAGTTTGGGCCGCCTGCGCCGCTCTTCTGGCCCACCGTGCGCAAGGGAGCGGCAGAATGCCCAGGCTGCAGTCAGGGCAGCGCGCTGCTGGGCAGCTTCCCACCGTCAGCAATCTCAGCAAATCTTTATTTTTGGGCGCAGTTGTCCCGAAAGTGGGCGAGTGCCCTGCCAGGGCTCCGCGCGCACACACGACCACACCGTAAAACTAAATTTCCATACGGGGCGCCGCCGCCGCCGCCGCGACCCACAAGGCGCGACCGCGCTCGGCTTGTCTATGTCACCGAGCGGGCCGGGGGGCCGGGCCCTTGGCCGCGCCCTGCAAGATGCTCCTGGAGTACTTCGATCTTCCCCGGGGAGCGCTCCCCGTGCTCTCCGTTCCGTAGAGCTATCGCCTTTCAGACGGCGGGGGGCCGGCGGGGGCGGCGGGGGCGGCGGGGGCGGCGGGCGGCGGCGGCGGGGGCACTTGGCAGGGCGAGGGCCCTGCCCCGGCGTCCGCGTTGCTGTTGCCGCCCAGGTCGACGCAGCGCGGCTGACAGGTGTCTGCCGAGGGGCCCCGGGGCTGCGGACGCTGCAGACGCGCCGGGGGACGAGCAACATAATACAGGTGCCCCGGCCATCCGCACGACAACAAAGTCAGTTATAAGATTCAGGCCATGCAGTTAATGGTTCGAGCTGACTTTGCGCGGACTGGAACAGGAAAATTCATACCCATGGCAAACCCCCGGCACAATGATTACTCTGTCGAGCAGCAATTCCCGCGCCCGTTGAAGCACCGCGGCATATTTGCACATTCCGACGGCCCCTTCTCGCGTCCGTCCGTGTCTGCGTGTCTATGTGTCTATCCCTATGCACGCGCAGACAGTGCCACGTGGGAAGCGCGTCTCTGGCCCCCGGCGGCGGCGCACAGTGGGCCAGAAGCCGGCGGAGGCGGCCAAAACTCTAGACACGTTTTGAGCTCCAGAGTCGCTAAATGGGACTCGAACCGAACGTGTGACCCCACCAATGGATTGCTCTCCGAACGAGGAATCCATTGGTGGGGTCACACGTTCGGTTCGAGTCCCATTTAGCGACTCTGGAGCTCAAAACGCGTCTAGTTTTGGCCGCCTCCACCGTCTTCTGGCCCACTGTGCGGCGGCGGCGGGTCTCGCCGGAGAATATTGAGCAAATTTATGAAATGGCGTGAGAGGCGTGGCGGGGCGGGGTGGCCTTTGGGGTGTTCCCCGGGCGGGCCACCTCGAGTTTATTTCCGTTGGCACTCGCCGGGGTCCGTTCCGAGCGGTTCCGAGGCCGGAACGTGGCCTCGGTCGCCTCCTTCTCCTCTTCGGCAAGCCCCGTCCTCGTCGTCGGCGTGCCCCCGTGCGGCCGTCCGTCCTTTGGCAGGGCCGTGTCTAAATGGCAGCCAGAAAGACGGCCTAACACTTCAAAGGCTCCCCCGCAATCCTCGAATCTTCGCGCCCCCGGGGGCGGGGCGGGGCGGGGCGGGGCGGCGACCGCGGCCCGGCGGCACTCGAACAGCCAGAACCTCACTCACAATTGACTGTGTCTGGTCTGTCCTGTCTGTCTGTCTGTCTGTCCGTCCGTCCGCCCGTCGTTCTGCGCGCTGCACTGGCCGACCCGATCCCCTCGCCGCCTTTTTGCCGAAAGAGGGTATGAAAATGCGATCACCCTCCATAAACGAGGATACGCGCGCAACGCGAAACAAAAAAAAAAGCAAAAAGTGAATGCCTCTTGATGCGATCGCTTTACTCGTGTCAACCTCTTTCCCCCGAAAGAAAAAAGACGGAACCGGATATAATGCAAATGCGCGCGTCCCGCTGATGAGTCTAGACAGCAGCTGCAGCAGCCAATGAGCGTTTATTGTCGGCTGCCCCTTTTGACCTTTTTCGGGCCGTCGCCGCGTCGCCCCATTCGACTTTTCAGAGGGTCGGCGGTGTGGATTAGCCCGGGAGCCCTTCATTGGTCCGGGATTAGCGGGACGAGGACGATCCGCAGTCATGCTGGAGCGTCCCTGGAGCCTGGAGCCCAGCACTAAGTGGCCTGCCCCCCCCCCCCCCTCCGACCGCTGGAACGGCCAGGCATTCGGTACTCAGCAGATTACCGCCGTGTTCGCGTCGCTGTATGCATGCCCAGCGCTCCGCGGTAGCCGAGCTCGCTAAAGCGTCGGCTCAGCACACGCCGCACCGGAGGTTCGATCCCCGCCGGCCACCTCATCAGTATTTTCGCTCGTCGCAGAAATGTTGCGGACCCTCATCGAGCACACTATATAACGAGAGAGTGAGACAAAGCGATTTGCCAAGTTTTAATCATCCGACCAGTGCGGCTTCCCCGACTTCATTTCTCAATTTGTTGCCCTCCCCCCTCCATTCCCCTCAGGCCGCGGCGCTGTTCTATCTGTTTGCCGGAGGATCGCTTTGATAATTCTGCAGCCCATTTTGTAGCTTTCCGACAATCAGTGCGGTTAGAGGCCTCCCCTTCCACAGCGGCGTCTCCGCCTCCCCAAATACCCACCCCCAGAGAATCCCCGGGCCGCCCCCGGCCGCCCCCGGCCGCCCCCGCGGTGGTTGGCAACCCTTTCATAAACACCTCCAATGAGGCTCTGCCAGGCAACAAGCAAGGCCCCCCCCCCTTTCGTGCGATACACCCGAAACCCGGCCGGCGGGCCAAGTGTTGCCATTACCAAAGTCGCAACTCCACCTCCGGGTGTCTGAAGTCCGAGTCGGGGAGCAGCTCGGCGAGCAGGGGGGCCTCGAGGAGCGACGGGCTGCCACTTTATTTAGCACTCGCCCATTGGATGGCCGCCGTGGGGCCTCGGGGGCTCCGAAACGCCACCGCCGCCGGCGGCGTGGCCTCCGCCGTGAGGTCCACGATGAAGGTCCTCGAGAGCGACGGGGGAACGTCGCCGTCACACGGAACCCCGCAGCGCCTCCGGTGGTCCACCGTGCCGAGAGCGATTCCGCGCTCTGTCTCTCTCGCACCCCTTCGGTCCGCCCCATGAGTGCGAGAGAGACGGTGCGAATGAGCCCGCCGGCTACCTCCGCCGTGCCGTACCATTCGATGGCCGGCACGGCGGAAGGCACGGCGCGGCGGGCAAGGCCCGGCATGGCCGCACCTCAACGACCCGGCTTCCGCAACATTACAGGCACGCCTCGGGGGCCCTACGGCCCTACACTGATAGGGCCGTGGAGGGGGAGGGTGGGGACGGTCTAGCCAGCGATAAGGGTGACAGCTAAGGGGAAGGGATGACTGGGGCAAGCTCTTTTACGTGCTCATCCCGCAGGACAGGCCGGGGGACAGGCCGACGAAACAACAACGTCAAGGGGCAGCAGTAGGGGTGAGGCCCCCCCCCCCCCACCGGCTGCTGGGCCGAGTCCGGCCAAGTCAGAGGGGCACAGCGTGCCGCACACCTACAGCATCTACACCGCAGGCGGCTCACTCACACAGAGACACGCGAAGAAACACACAGGCAGAAGACACACGGATAGGCAGGCACGCAGGCAGACGGACAAACAGACCAGCACACACACACAGGCGCGAGCGTGGTTCACTCACTCGCAGGCGGCGCAGGGAAGCTGAAGTGAAAATTCATTACAGCGATCCGGGCGGCCTGATCCGAGAAAGGGCCGGAGGGGGAGGGGGGGTAGTCTGGCGTGTTAGTTTACCGGAAGCCAGCGCGCGGCGCAAATCCAAAGCAATTGGGCGGCAAAGTTTAGCCGGAGCGTCGCGCTGCCGCCGGTGCAGACGGAAAGAGGACCCCTGTGCGAGGCTAGGGCCAAGGCGGAGCGGCAGCCCCCCCCCCTCCCCCAGAAAAGCCGAAGCCTTCTGCTTGCCTCCTCCCCTGCCTGCACGATAGCCTCGCGACATGTTCGCCGACCACGCGCGGCGCGCAGCATAGCCAACTTATGGGGGCGGGCCCTTTTAGTCAAAGTCCCGTGGGGCGGCGGTCATTAAAGGCCCCGCCCCGCCCCGCCCCGCCCCACCCCGCCCCGCCCCGCCCCGCCAGGAGAAAAGCGACGAGCAAAGTCGGCCGCAGTGAGGCGGGCACGTTTGGCGTGGCGGGGACGACTCGCTGAAACTCACCGATTATCGTCGACCTTCCCCCCCTTTTCCCCCCACCTCCCCACCCAGTCGCCCCGCATGGGCGCAGTATTCTCCCCGCGGTCCCCGTGCAGTGCAGGTGCACGCGGCGGGCAGAACAGGCAGCAGGCGAGGGCGCGGAGGGCGGGCGATTTTCAACTGTTCCGGAGTGGATGTCGATCTCGTTTTGGCGCCAAGCCGAACATCGCCGCGCACTGCAGGCGGCTTGCCGACCCAGACACACGATCAGCTTGAGGCGCCCAAATTTCGGCCGCAGCAAATGATGAGAGTAGTGACATTTTTGTGGTCTCGAGTCGCATAGAGTGGCTGCAAGCTGCAAGACGAGGACAGACAGACGGCGTAGAGGTCCTCGCGTCACGTCCGCGTTCTTCGCCTCCTCGGTGGCGGCCAGGCAGAGGGGTATCGCTTTCAAGGCCAGCGTGAGCACGCTCATTGCGTACAGCGCCTCTCTCTCTCTCTCCCTCTCCCTCTTTCTCTCTCTCTCTCTCTCTCTCTCTCTCTCTCTCTCTCTCTCCCCCTCTTTCTCTCTCTCTCCCCCTCTCTCCCTCCCTCTCCCTCTTTCCCTCCCTCTCCCTCTCTCTCTCCCTCTCCCTCTCTCCCTCTCCCTCTCCCTCTCTCCCTCTCCCTCTCCCCCCCCCTCTCTCTCTCTCTCTTTGCTGTTCGCAATG